TCGAATCCGAGGCACGGATTGCCACGGGTGTGCCAACGAGGTGCCAACGAGGCTCTTCAATGACGTTGCAGGCCGCGGCTTTGTCCGTAAATAACAGCAGCTTCTCGGCGAATACGCGCGGATGAGGAGCCATCGAATCGATCGCGTGCACGCCAGCAGAGTGGAGCGCTAATTAGCTCGGCGAGTCCTTTGTCTTTAGACCGGCAGCGCCGAGCACGTCGGCACGGCCGCTCCACCACGCGTGCATTACGCAACTCGGCGCGCGATAGGCTTGCTTATATTACGCGTTGGCTTTCCCACCGCACACGCTGCTAAATTAATTTTGCTCCGGAGAAAGGCTTCTCGCTCTCTGGCCTGTGGCACTCGTAGCCTCTGCGTGCTCGCTTGCAACGCCGCGCTGCCCACGTACAGACGTCGATATTCCGCAAGCTTTCGCCGAATTACGCCTAGATGGTGGCCGTCACGTGCCTTCACTGGAGCTCTGGGAAAGCGCAGTTCGAAAGGCGGCAAACCTCGCGCGCGCGCGCGAGAGAGAGAGAGAGAGAGAGAGAGAGAGAAAGAGCGATTTTCAAAGTGGCCGCCAGCCAAAATTTCCTCCGAAGGACACGCGACGGGTGAGGGGATCGAATCCGGGGGAAGGACATTTTTGATACTGCCGGCTGGCGATCGATAGGCTCGATACGCTCTGGTCTGCGTGCAGCGCGCAATGGCAATCAGTCAAAACGCTCGTTCGTACGCTTCGGAGTGGGCTCGAGTTGGGCGCAACGAGACGCTGAGGTGAAAGAACTCACTGGCAATCTGGCAATTTGGAAAAGCAGCGTCCGGGGATACACCGGCCGATCTTGTAGCTGGCAGTAGCTTGCGAGGATCCTCGAGGAAAGTGGCGCTGCGACAGCCTTAATTTATCATGTGTTACGCGGGCAGCCCGGCGGCGGCACGCGTTGCTTGGTTTTCTGCCCCCTCCCGGCCCTCCCGTTGCCTTCCCCCTCCTCGTCGCCCCTCTCTCGGGTACACAGCCAGCGATGACGCGGCGGCAGCAGCAGCAGCAGCAGCAGCAGCAGCGCGCCAAGGATCCCCGTAAAACTGATGAAACACGCGATACCTATTGTCGCGGCCATCCGATCTTCCCCCTCGTCTGCGCGCGACACTCGCACGACTGAAATACCAGGCCGACGCAATATATCGACTAGATGGCAAGGCGATATTCCGAAGAGGTTCGACCGAGTCGAGCGACAATGCGTGTGCGCGCAGCGAATAAGAAGGAGCGAGCAAGCGCGGCTCTGTTGGTTGCCGACTGCTGTTGTTCGCTGGCTCGGTGGTGTTGACCTTGGACGCGGGCGTGAGAGCTCCGCAATGCGGTCCAGAATCAGCCTTGCCATCGTATATTCAGCACTCCCAACTCTCTCCGGCCGCCCCACCGCGCTCCCTTCATGGCTTTCGTGCCACCTATACACATGCGCGACCCATCAGCCCGCAGCGCACCTACAGCGCTGCCGCCTGGCTCTCTTTCGTTCGTTTTCATTTCTCTCCCGGCAACCCCGACAAGCCCGCGGACGCTCGCGCAAAACATCGGGACCAACGTGCATTCTTCGTTCCACAGCTGACGCCAAGCCGCCGAGTGCGCCAACGGCGTGCGCTCGTCAAGGCTACGTTCGATCAATTCTCGCGACAGGCTTGGGCTCGTGAAAGTTCGATTAAAGACCGTCAGAGGCAGAGAACGAACTGGGCATGAGGTGACCAGGGGCTTCGGCTATGAACAATCCAATTCGAGCTAATTATCCGACCGGTCATGTTCGTGTTTGGCCTTAGAATAGCTCGACTGGGAGTCTAAGCGTATTCGCGATAAACATGTCGAGACCGAGTTCCTTTCATCGTTCTAAAATTGCTTTTTCAGTATCAATTGCAAACCCTCTCTTTTTCTATTAATCTTCTCATCGGCTTTACTCCCAACTGACTACTTTTGCCATTTATCGCGTACTTCTCACCGTTCATCGAGGCGATGCTTTTCGAGATACTTTCGACAGAATTTTCAGAAGCACAGCGTCCTCTCGTACCTGTTGTTGGCTTGTTGGAGATCGATGCTGCGCACGCACACCATTCGCACGTTGGCCTACTCGTATATTTTTCTCGAGCAGACAGCATTAACCTGCTAATCCGAGTGGACAGTACGACTAGCGCTTCGAGTTCTTTATCGAGCTTGATTCTTGGGAGCTTTAACGAGGGGGACGTGCCGCGAGAGCTCAAAGTGCGATCGGAGCTCGAAATGCCGCTTTAAAATGGGTCTTTGGAGGAATTCGTCGAGCGTACGGCGGCACTCGGCGGTGCTCTTATCTGGAAGAGAAAGGGAAACTGGAAAGGCGGCGTAGAGAAGCGTGAGAGAAGTGAGCAACACAATGGTCGCGAGTACGTCGAATAGTGGGTGAGTGGGGAGGCAGGAGGAAAATCGGTAGGCAGAACTAGCTGGCTGATCGAGTGATCGATCGCGCAACGTTTATTCGCAAACGCGAGACGTCCAAAGCAAAGCAAAGCAGAGCAAAGCGAAGCAAAGGGAGTCGTTGTCTGCAAAACTGCATGTAGGACAAGTGGAGCGTGCCGGGGGTTGCGGGCGAAGGGCAATAAGCGGAGCCCGTGACCCCGGAGTGAAGGAGAAGGCAAGTTTGATCGACGTAACGAGTGCCAAATGCAAAGTCGCGCGGCCTTGGCGCGGCCACCCTCCGACCCGACCCCTTCGCTCACCTGCGCTCTCTCGCTCTCGTTCGTTGTGCCCGTGCATTGTGCGCGTCGGCCGTGCACTAGGCCACCGACTCTGGCTCCGCTTGTGCTCTCAACTCTGGGCTTTGGCTCTGCGACGCTGACGCCCCCCCCCCCCCCCCCAATCGGCACCTATGTCGCCGTAGTTCTCTACGGTTACCAGTGCGAGTGTACTTAGTTTTCAATTTTCAACACGTTTCACCTGCTCTCAACTGGACTCTACCGAGGCTCTACCAGAGCTCTGCCAAAGGAAAATTGCTTTTCGAACTCTTCCCAGTTCCCAGCCAATTCAGACTATTAAGAACTTTTGTCGTTTGTCCATTTTCTCCGAGTACGCCCTCTGCTCCAATGGTTTTTCTTCCGGTTCTTTCTTCCGGACTTCACTCCTAACCTACTTCTTCCTAATTCCAGTTCACTTCGTTTCATCAAATCTTTGTCTTGCGGTTTTCGGTCAACGGTCAAATGGAAAATTCACGAAATACGTGTGCATTCGCTATCAACGATTGCTTCGATCAGTCAATGTAGTGTATCATCGAGGTGGAACAAGACAGTAAGACAGTAAGAACAAGAGCCAAGTTGAGACACAGAAAGAGAGCCAAGAGGCTGCAGTTGTGACGTTGCATTCGAGTGAGACAACAAATAAACGCACTCGAGGAAGTGACGCTCGGATTACCGACACTCATAGCTCACGTTTGCTCGACAATTAGTTTCTCCAACGTAAACTGCACCATCCTGTCATTTATGAAAACATCGCAAATCCACCGACAAAATCTTGTCTTCATTGCATTTGCAGTTCAATTAAAACGTTGCATTAAGAGTTTTGCAATACTCGTTGTTTGAGACATTTAAGCTTGCTTGATCTAAAACCAGAGATCAACAGCAGAGATCAAACAGATTAAGGAGTAATGCATGCATGCAAGAGTAAGGGAATAAGAGGCTTACGAGGGAAAGAGCTGCAGAGCAGGAAGACATTTGGAGTCGAATGCCGAAAGGAGAATATTGAAATGAGTTTTTGCGATCGAGAGAGAGATTTCGAGCCGATTCAGATGGAGAAGGCCGTGACTGGCTGGTCCAGGGAAATTCAATTAAACGACGACGTTCCTTCAAAATATCAATTTGCCAATTTGCTTTTATCAATAGAAGAGCACGGGAAACCGGCGATCGTTGATTCACTCGAGGGGATAGTAAGTTTTAGCGGATGGCCGTGATTCACCTCGCGAGACTTAGCGCGGCCCGCAAATATTTACTAGCTTGAGTCACCCATGGAAATCAGCCATACGCGACAAAAGCGCATTTGCATAATCGGCACAAATCAAGTAATAAAAATGAACAGACAGCTGCACAGCTGCGTAGGGGCAGAGTTGACACGTGTAACCGCGGGGAGGCTCGTCGTGCCATGAATCCGCGCTCGGATGTGTCGGTTTCCAAGGAATACGCGCAAACCGGCCGCAAAGGACGTCGTTTCTTTTTCTCCCTCGATTTCGTTCTAATTGTTCCATATACAAATCAATGACGCCGACAAATTGCTATTTTCATTCTCTTTGTTCAGGGGAATCAGCCGATTCTCGCGAAGATAATATAGCCAAGATATCAGCTTGGCCATCGGGTGATTTTTTTAAATTTACACACAATGGAGGATCCCTCGACAGTATTGTGCCGAGGATCGGCCGAGACGGTACTGTTCGCATCAACGAAAACTTACGATTAAGAGAAACAACTGCGAAGAACAGCATTGTCAGATCTCCTAATTTTCACAGGACTGAGTTCCAACAAGAATAGCGAAGCTGTTGCAAAGTGCACGTGATTGTTACTCAGCGCCATAGGGCAGGCGCGAAAACCATAGTCGAGCCAGTAATAGAAAGATCTTGATTGCACTGGTCCTATCGTGAACCGCGAGGTCCGCTTGCGATAGCTCAACAGGACGAGACATTGAGGCGTGTAGCTTGCGTCGGGGGGCTTGCGTCGGGGGGCTTGCGTCGGGGAGCTCGCGCTGGACCAGTGGAGCGGTGCAGCGCACAGAGTTGGCCGCGGCAACGGAATCGAATTCGCGCACGCCGAGCAGTGCTCATTGGTTCTGCTGGGGAAGTAGCGGCTGATCGTCGCTACAGCAGCGCATCGTCCGGTGGCTGGCTGTCGATAAAGCGCCGAACGCGCCGTTAGGTGCCAAAGAAGACTCTTCGCGCGAGCTTCTCCGACGAGTCATTAGCTGGAGCGCAGCAGCCGGAGCCGCCGCGCCGATCTAGTCGGTCGCTGGGAGCGGAGCGACGTTCGTGGAGAAGAAGGACTGCCGGAGGAGCAGGAGGAGCAGGAGGGCAGACTGCGCGCGGAGAGGGAGCAGAGGAAGCAGCGCACGGCGGCGGCGACGGCGGCGGCGACGGCGGCGCGCTGCTCTCTCTCTCTCTCCACCTCGCGACTGCGGCTGCAGGCGCTCGCGCGCCGGATACTCGTGTATCTGCTCCGCTCGGCCGCTGCTCGTCTCTCTTGCCCAGTGAACGCGCGCTGGTCAACGGCTGCGCGCACGCACGCGCCGCTGCTGCCTCGATCGTTCACCTTGCCGGTCGGTCCGCGCCCCGGCCGCCGCTCAGCGCCGTCTTCCGGCCGTTCCTCCGCGAGCGAGCCGCTCGCGGCGCGCGAAACATGTGACCAGGTGCGGGCGAGCAGCGACGACGCACAGACCGAGCGATGGCTCCGCTTCGCTGTGTCCTCCTGTGGCTGCTGCTCGGCCTGCCGTCGGCCTCGCTCGGCGGCGCGGCGGCTCACCAGCGGCAGCAGCAGCGGCAGCAGCAGCAGCAGCAGCAGCAGCAGCAGCACCGGGTAATCGCAGCGGGCGCCGCCGCGCGCGTCGGCACGCGCGTCGGACGGCCGGCTGCATCGTTGGCGCGTTTGCTTGCAGAGCGGCCGGCACGGAGCGGTCCAGCGCCATCCGCACGTCCGCCACGAGCACTCGTCCAGCCTGCCTCGCGACTCGCGCCACCACGCCGTGCACGGCAGCCCGGCCAGCGCGACTGCCGGCAGCCGCCGACTGGTGGACGCACTTGCGCTCGCGGCAAACGCCTCGGAAAGCGCCGCTCGCAGTGCCGCCGAGCACAAGCAGAGGCACAACTACGCCTTCTTTTATCCGGCTGCAAGCGTTACCGCCACGCCACCGACTGGTCACGGCCTCCGTCAGTCTGGGTACGTTTCTCACACTCTGCTCGCCGCCGCGTCGTCGATGCCGGCCGGCGTCGAGTGGACGAACGCGCGCGTGGGTTCGTCCATGCCCCGGGGAAGCGACGCGGCGAGAGCGCTAACGACCTTTCCGAATCCCGGTGATCGCTGTCTCTCGCCGCATTTGGACAGCTCGTGACTGCGGCAGCGAGTGGCTTGCGAATGCAGCACTTATGTGATTTAGCCGGATGACACGAGAAATGACGGAGTCATTCGAGTCCGTGGGAAGACAGTCCAAGTCTGCGCGAGGGAACGCGTCGGACGCCGTGATGCAAGCAAGCGCGATCGTTATCGCGGCGAGTGCACGATCGATCGGCAATAGCATTGACTAACAGACCAACTCTCGCTAGGTCGCAAGCATCGCAAGCTCGCGCCGCGACTCGTCTCCGATTGTCGCGCGAGCAGAGGCTGCAAATGCGCGCGGCACGCGCGGCATGCGCGGCCTTGCGCAAGCGCTGGCTCTCGAAGGCGTCGCTCGATGCAACGGCATTAGCCCAAGTGCAGCCGCGAGACACGCGCTCTTTGCGTTATTACAGACCTTATCTCACAGCTGCCTATAAAGACATACTTCTCGAGCGAGGCTCTCGTGCTTCGTAAGCCTGTGGCAATTCGTTGACTTATTGCCGCAGTTACGTGCCCATAAATTTTTCCTATAAATTCCGATTATCTTTCAACGAGCGAGCGACCTATCCTTCTTATTTTTAAAGCTAGCTCTAGCTTTATCGGCTGTTTTGTCGGCAACGATTAAATTTACCGTCGAACGATTTGCGGTTGTACGACGAAAACCAGTACGCGTTAGATGAACGTCGGCTGGCGAATCACGCGGACAACTTCTAAATCCCATGGTTTTGAGCTTTCGAGGGACTTTACTTGCCCCCAGCGGCTACTCGTCTCGAGTGCATGCACGCCACGAGAAAACGCGCGCGAAGCTTATTCTTATTTTAGCACGAGACCCGAAATAACGTAAGTAAGTAAGTACGTAAACTTCCGAGACACCAGTTATAAACAGCGGAGGAGACTGCTTGAAATAGCTTGGATTCTCCCGATCTCGTCGTCGGGCACTTGGGACGTTCAACCCTTGCACAGCTGCACGCGCCATCGCGTCACTGCCGAGCGCAAGGATGCTTGCCGTAGGACAAGGAGCGAATGGCGAGCGACGCGCGCGAGGTCGGCGTAGCTCGGCGCAACCACGACGAAAGGACTGCGGTGCAGTTGTTACGACCGAATAGGATAGGAGAGCGTTTCGCAAACCGCGCGCAGTCCAATTTTTCCGATGGCGCCGACTCCATGGCTCGGCTTCGTCGCGCGGCTCAGGGTTGCGATAGGAGCGGCAGTTGACTGCCGGGAGACGCCGGGCCATATAATGGATTGGGACAATCCGACAGGGCTGCGCATCGCTTGCCCCAGGCAAACCATCTACGTTAAACGTGAAACGCCAGAACGAGCTTGGCACGTGCACTCCGCGCTCTCACGGAGCAAACGACCTCGTGCCTCGGTGGCCTTGCGCGCCCTTGCGCGCCCTTGTATGCCCATTCACCGAGTGGATGCGCTAGAAACCGGCGGCAAAGCGGAAATCCCGTGCGAACGAGCGAGCCAAGAAAGGCCAGGGCTAGGCCTACGCGTAAGCCTGGGCTCCGTTTGATTGGCCTTCTCGCTATCTCGCTAGCTCGCCTCTCGACCTCTCCTCTCTTGGAAACTTGAGTGGCATTTTCATATCGTCTCGTTATCGTGATCGAATACTTGCGGCAAGTATAGGCAGCGCGAATATACGGTTAAATGGAAAGTAATGAGCGGCCTCCGCGGCTCGATAAGTTGCCTCTACAATTGATCGGTCGATTGCCTGCCACTTGCGCATTCCTGTTGTTCGCCAAATCCGAGGAAAGTTCTCGACGCAGGTTGCAGAATGTCGCTCACCTTCGCTCACCTTCGTCGACTACCGCGACATCCTGCTTCGGCGCCTTTCCCTTCTTCCTTCCTTCGCCTCGAATCAGCTGACCGAGACAAAGCCTACGAGTCGATCAATGGCCATTTGGCCCGCAAGAATAGAAGCACGCAAGCTCGAGCGCCGCGAGTGACTCCGCGCGTGGATACAAACGTGGACGTTATACGTTATACGCATATATACGCGAGAAACGCCTGTAAGACCTCTCTTTTCTCGTTCTTCGCTCGCTGCCCGCAGCTTGCTTACATCTCTCTATTTCTTTCTCTCGGCGTCTCTTTCAAGCGACACGGCGCGCCTTTTACTTAATGCTGCCGCGCACTGCTCCGCCAAACAATGCGCCGCTACGTCGCTTTTAATGTTCCGCTGACGATTCAAGCCACGAGCTTGCTATATATAAATTGCGCTCTAAAAGCATGACAAATTTTCAAGATTGCCGTCTGCTGCAGCATCAACAAGGCCAAATTGAAATACCTGTTTAAAGCTGCTGTAGCGTCATTCATTCTTTATTATTATTATTATTATTATTATTATTATTATTATTATTATTATTATTATTAATATCGAAAGAACGAAACTCGCGTTGCAAATACATATTTGAGGCATCTAATTACAAGGACGACTCTCGCCACGTTTGAGTATGTCTGAAATCAAAGCTCCATCCTACGTTCGAGCGTAAATCGATGCTACGAGCGAGAATTGCTCGAGTGTACATAGCATACATTGTGCAAGATATTTTTACGGGGAATAATAGCACCGATAAATATCTGCCGACAGAGCAGTGTAAAGGTTTACAGCATCTCAGGCACATTCGCTATCTGCGGGCCACATCGCATCGCGCGATCCGTCAGTCCACGAAATCACGGAACAACCTGTCCCCATCAGCCGAGCATTCGCAGCTTTCGTTTCTGTTCAATTTCATATACCGACTTTCAATCTCGTTAACAAACCTGCAAGAGATTCAGATTTTTCGCAATGACGCAAAGAACATTCCGCCTTCGCGATTAATCAATTTTTCACGCGAACAGTTCTGAGCAACGCTTGGATTGGCCTCCGCAGAACGAACTGCCGCCAAGGAATAAAACCTGACGAGATCCAGCGAGATAGAATAAATTAGAGCAATTGTTCGCTCCATTTCTTGCTCGCAGAGCCTACCATTAGTAAAGCTCGAGCTTGCTAAAAGTCCCCAAAGTGCATTTTTATATTGTTGTTGACGCATGTGCGCAAGTAAGTCTAGGTTACTAGCTGAACGGTGCGCCGATCGCGAATAATCGATCGAGGCAGCTCTCAGTTTTAAGCGGTAAAACATGTCATCGTTAGATTGGCTTCGTTCGCGCGCTTCTTCGATGCAAGTGCGATAAAAAAAGCCAGTTCGAATCCGTCGGCACCGGATCGAGGAGAGCAACGAGGAGAGCAGCGAGGCGGGCAAAGGCCGAGCGAGCATGTGCCAGTGGCCAGTGAGCTGCTCGTGTCTGTTTCGCGCGGCTGAGTCAAAGCCACGAGCCGTCAGCCAAATGGAAACCTATCGAAAGACAAGCGAAAGCCAGCCGAGTAATTCGATCAGATGCTCCGGTCGTTGTTAATTTAGTCGCAGGCTGCGCGAGGCGGCCATTGGGCTGAGCTAGATTAAGCCTATCATCTTGTTTTGTAAAATCTGTCGACTACGGACGCAATACAGATTCACGCGTGTCGCAATCTCATTTCGCCCGAATTCTGCCTGATGTGCATCGTCGTTACCATATAAAAGTATACCATAACTTAGTCGTTACCATATAAAAGTAGGCTCTTCCGCGCTTCAAACCTGTCGTCGGTTAAATTCTACGAGCAACTAAACAATTGACGAGGCTTTGCGTTGCAGGAGACGGTTGTGCTCGAGTGTCATCACGGATACGACTTCCCGGGCGCTGGCGCACCACCAAGAGGATCGCCAAGCAAGGTGAAACATCGTTATGCATGTACTTTTCTCTGCACGGACACCGTTGCAAGCGTCGTCCGACGTAATATCGACGTAATAATTGATTTTAACGCACAGGCTCGTGTACACGGACGCGCAGGCCAGTAAGTTTTACTGTTGCCCCGGCTGGACGCAGGTAACCAGGTGGAGCTCCGGCTGCAACAAACGTAAGCCATATTTGCCAGTTAATTATAAATAGATGCAAGAGCCATTCGTCTCGTCGTGCTTTCAGCCGTGTGTCCATTGCCTTGCCAGAACGGAGGAGTTTGCTCGTCGCCCGGTAGATGCACCTGTCCCAAGGGTTTCACCGGCAACTATTGCCAAACAGGTGAGGTAGAATGGTCGACATTGATCGCGCACTGGCAGGCAAAGGGCAAGCCTCTTCCTGTTCGACGCGCTTACCATACAACTGTAGCTACCTTCCGACCCACAATGCACATCACCTCGCTGAGTACTTCTCTAATCGTAGCGTCGCTCTTCGGTTTTCGAGTACATCTAATAAGTATACAATTTCTTGCTGCGCTAGAGAATCCCGCGAGGAAATTCTGGAATAATAGAGTCCAGCTCGAAGCGTGTTGCTCTGCAATGTATAATTGTCAATGGGATTATCAATGAATTTATTAATTTTATTGATGCTAGCAAAATGTCCGAGGCATATATCTTCTGATCATTATGCTCACCCACATCAGCCCTTTCCCGCCCTAAATCGTTAAGCGTGCAATATGCCTCATTGCTGCGCATCATATCTCGTGCGTATGTACAGACTTGCCATTCAATAGACTCGATTATTGTTCTCAAACTTGAGCATCAGTAGCTTAACTATAAAAAACTGTAACGACAGGCTGTAGCTGATGCATGTCATCTTCAATTGGCAAATATATCATTAGAAATCTATCAATTGCGAAGGGACTTCTTGACAGCGATTTAAAAACGGTTGTACTCATGATGTATTATTTAAATGGAGCAGCTAGCAGCATGAAACATTAAGAATCTTTCATTTCTTTGCGTTAGCCTAAGATGATATTTACGTAAATGATATGAAAATGTTTACACTAAAAGTAAAATTCTTTGGCAGACGAGGACGAATGCGTAACCGAGAAGCCATGTGACCAAATCTGCAGAAATGTACCTGGTTCGTACGAGTGCTATTGTAGAAATGGATACGTACTTCAATCCGATCGACAGTCATGTCGGAAAAATGGTCATTTCACAACATTTGCATGTATTTAAGAGGAATCCATACAGAATTAAACATTTCTAAATTTTCCATTTTCTTTTTTAGGCAGCGATGGCACAGCATTTGAAGCCAGAGACTTGATAGATGACATTGAAGAGGCCACGACACCTACGTCGAGTACAAGACGACCCATACTGCATGGTTAGTAATGTAATGCACAATTAAATTTGTGGAAATGCAGCAGTTTAAACTGGTCATTTTTTAAATTATATGAAACCCCTTTATTCTAGTGTCAACAATACATATTATGTATAATGTATACTATTATAACACTTAGAATGATTTTTGGCATTTCTCTAAATATTTCGTTTTTGCAAACATCAATTCAGAAACAAATGAGAAATTATAAATCATTATACTTATATTTTATCAGATCCAGAACAAAATGATGTTAACAATGTCGAGCGCGTAAATAGTCAAGAAGAACTACTTCAAAGACTTATAAAGTTAGAAAAGGTACGTTTTTTAAATTAAGTTTATTTCTCGTCGCCAATAATAACTTTACTTTTGATTTATTAGATTATTTTAACAAGACATACTTACACAATGATATAATTGTGAATTAAATTGATTTATTATATTTTATAGCAAATAGCAAAAGGCTGGAAGAGAGAAATCGAAACTAATGAGATTGCAACGAAAATATCGTCAGCTATAGATAGTATTAATGAAATAAGAAATAGTCTGCGAAACATGGTAATAATTTTAAAGAACTTTTTAGCTTTAAATATCAATTTACTTTCATATAACCTTACAAAAATCGTTTTTTTGTAGCAAATCATGCAGCAAGACGTTTACGAGTTACAAAATCAAGTCAAATTGTACGAATTTGAGACAAGAAGAATTCAACATTTGGCGAATAAAGTTATTGATCTTGAAAACAGAATAAGGTTAAGATGTAGATCTAACATATTTTTAAATAACGGTAGTCCTTACTAGGGTATTGCAAAGTGATATAAACAAAACTCCATCGTATTTTTTAAAGAAGAATCAAATGCATTTTGAATGAAAGAAAAAGAACTGGAAACTATTTTTGGAATGAGTGTTTTAATACCAATGTGCATTTATTTTTTGTACTTTATTATAAAAAGTAATAATTTTCAAATTTCATCCATAAGGTGGTGATTTATGATAAACCATTTTTTTAAATAACTAGTGGAGTTGTTATTTTTTACTTAGAACAACTCACATGAAAAATAGCGTTTGTATAACACAAATTTCTACTTATACGTAATCCTAATAACTCCTAGTCTTTGATTTTTTTTTTGTCTTTCCTTGTTAACCTTTTGTCTTTCTTTGTAGTAGCTTTTTGAGTTTTTGCTCTGCCTTTTTTGTGTTTTACAATTTTTCTGTGATTCATCCAAACTGGATAGTTTCCATACTGATCTCGCATGGTTTTTTTATTATAAATACGGGCAGTACCATCATCCATCTTCTCATTCTCAACATTTTCAGTTTCATTTTCTTTAACATTTTTGCTTTCTTTGATTGCTGCTGCACTTGTTACTAAAAAATATATAAGTTGTCATCATTGTTGCACACTTTTAATTGAACAAGGTTAAAAGTTGCAAATATTTTCCAAGTGTATCATTGATACTAAAGTATGCCTTCAAGCTGTGATGAAAAAACGAATTTTATGAATGAAATTAACATTTTTGTACTCTATTATAAAGTTTTGAAAACTTAGCTAAAAATTCTTATAAATAAAATTATTAATAAAATTAAAATATTTTTAAAAATAAAAATAGATTACAAAACTAGATATTGAATAGACCATTTTGCAAGTAAATTAGTTATATCAAAGTCGTACCAGTGGCAATATCCTGGATTTCTTTCATCTCAGTATCTATTGGTGCATTTTCATCAATCCCCAGTGTTTTTTTCAACCTGGTCAACTCTTTCTCGCCATAACGAACTCTTTTGATTGCTCTACACTTTCTTTTCCATTTACTCCTCAATGATTTTGCCATTCTGAAATATGAAAAAATTTTGTGAATTTTAAAATAATATCAATGAACTTGTTTTAAACTTGTTATAATAATTTTAGATTGCATTATTACACAAATGTCACGTAAACGTAACCTCTACAAAGCATAATACGTGCATTTATCTTGGAGTATTATAATTTCTATATAATTATTGTTAAGTATAAATTAATTACAATCAACTTACTGCGATTGTTAAATGCTGTTCGTGTAAACGTAATAACTTAATTTAATAAGTAAACCGAGTCACTCTAACCCAGCACCACGTGCCAGTATAATGTGTATGAAAAACATTTTTGGAAGTTTTAGAAAGTAACACTAGGGCCGATTATAGCGCTAAATATGTTCCTTTACTTTATCTGAAGCTTACTACTTTATCGGTACGTGGTATAAAAATGTAAAATTTAGCTTGTAATAATTATTAATTTAAAATCATTCACTCAGTTATTTTGCAGTATGCAGTTACCAAATCTTAAAGCCACTTTATTTATAAAGTGATAATTTATGTGAATATTAATAAAACATTCATACAAACGCTTATTACTATAAATAATTATACATATACACTATAAACATAAGACAAACATGCATTTTACCTACCAATAAATTATTTTAAGTAACGAAATTATCGACTAGTATGATGCTTATTATTTCTACTTCATCCTTGAGAAAGAGATAAAAAAATTAAGTTGAAATTAGCAAAAAGTGATTTAATCTGTTGCCATGAAGCGTGAAACAAATCGATTTACATATATTTGGTATTCACGTGATATATACGCTGCCTTCGAAACTGAAAAGCCACACCAAGACAGCAGCTCTGACATTTTCAACCTCGGGTGACCGCGCACTTTCACTGATAACCAGATTGCCGCCGCCGTGCCCGCCTGGAAGCATAGTAAAACATCACGCGCCTCGCTAAAAAATTGAGGACGTACGCGGTGCTTCTTTGGTGTTCTACATTTTTGGAACGATAGAAATATTTCTTTCGCTGCGTCCGCTTACAAAATAAATACTTTTAGCTCTAACTTTATATTTATCGTCTTCTTTTGCGACATCAAAATTACAGCTTTCGAGCGATTGTGCATGGGAAGTTTGAGGAAAGAGAAAAAAAATAACGGGAACGATAATATTCAGTAGCAGTTATACTTTATCTGTAGTCAATTGAAAACTGTATTTTTTGTGACTTGGAACTGTTATATCTCATGTTATATCTGTGGATATAACAGATTTTAAAGAAAAAGAAAATGATTTAAAATGTTCATTTATTTATTTAACGATCATCAGTGTGATAGCTAAGAGCTGACGCTCGAGTTTACTAACTATCGGTTCTCCAAGCAAACTTAAATAATTGGGTAGACAATGAGCGATAAATCAAGCATGTCGAAGAAAGTGCAGAGTTCTTATGTAGCTGGCGCAATCAATTCAACTGTCGAAGTAGTCGTATTTTCAGACTACTTATAGTTTAAGGTATGACTTTCCCGCATTCACATAGATACTGTTTACTCGATTTGCAGAAGGGAATATCAATTTGACGTACTGTTTTACTTGAATTGATATTTATGCGTTTATATATTTATTTTTGTTCAAATATATGGCGTTTTAATAAAGTCCATCATTAAATTTAAAAGTATTCTGGCTAAAATTAGAAAAAGTCTCAGGATCTTTATAGTTCTGGACGTAAAGATATGACAAGAACACGTGACTCGTGTGCGTTTACTGGCCGTACAATATTACCTTGTGCTGGTGGCATTAGTCGTTCCACCTGGCTTATTAGCGGAAGCATCACGCGCTATACTTGGAGAGAAGACATTAATTGTGAATCCATGAAAATGGAGGAAGTTAGTTTAAATGGTGCATAAGATGCGAACATCATCGATTTTTATCGCGGTTGTTTGCTATTCACGGTGATATTTCAGATGATAAACTAAGTACTTTATTACAAAACGTATGATCGACCAGAAATTCTTTTGTCCAGTATTGTGATGAGTAGCCATTTTAATATTTAATGGTCTTAGATTTAGCGTAGGTAATCTACAAAAAATTATGTTATGTTGTTTTTTCCGATCGATTACTTCGTAACGATTTATTATACAATAATATGCATGGCTAGATACTCAACGCGATGGCTAGATGAGTTGATTTTTAAAAAATGAATAGAGATACCATTGGCATAGGCAACACCGGCTCGCCATAAATGAAATAATTGATTGGATCGAAAAATTGTTTATAAATTTTATAATTAGTCACGGGATTGTTTACTAAAGCTAGTGTGAGCTCCGTAGCTGTTGCGCCAAACTAACAGCGGGCTCTTGTGGCCTAATTCCCACCGCTGGATGACGCATAATCTGTCTCCTATTCAATTGACGATTTCTTTCGCGGTATTTCAACTTATTACTTCATTTTTAAATAATTAGTTTTAATTTGTCGCGTGAATGTGGCGTGCTCCTCTGAAACATAATTGTAATCTGAATGGTAATCGGCAATTTCTTTCAACTTCCAGGGAGTGTATCGTTAACAATGAAGTTTACAACGAAACCAAAGAAATAGTTTCGCAAAAAGAAGGCTATCACTGAATAATCTGTGAGTTTATAAATTCCTTATTCGCTTATAATATTTGTACAATCCTAATCCTTTTGCAAGCTTTACTCTAATAGTGACAAAAATCACTCGAACTAAATGGCACATCTCCAACTTTTTCAACGACCGCGTCAAAAATATAAGTTATCTCGCTTATCTTGTAGATATCACAATGAAGAATGATTTGCGTTGTACCATCAAGTATTTTTTTACATCTGAGATATTTTATGATTTCAGAAATATTGTCAGTTCACCGCAGACAATTAACGCACCTAGCTATTATTGTGCTTTCACGCCAGCATTTCCGTTTTGATTAGCCGCGATCTTAAAGTTGCTCCACTACTGAGAGAGAGGGAGAGAGAACGGCGTACGGTTTTGAAATAGGCCTCTACTCGTGGTAATGAACGCTAGCACCTCCTCCAAACAGAATTTTTATAAAATTTAGCTTGAAAGTTATCGGCTTTCGTTGCATCTATTACGAAGAATTTATCTCGCCGGAGCTGAATTAAAGTCAATCAACTCTTTTTGTCAATAGTTTCAATAGAGAAATAGTAATCCCTATTAGTTTTAGGCGACATCAGCGCGACAGCATTTTGGGATTGTGTATAGTAATAGTCCAACGCATGAAGGACGATAGATCGGTTATACTTCTTTAAGTATGTTCTTTTTAAGCGCCAATTATAATTGTAAAGGGTAGGATCGAAAGGAAATCAAGTATGTGAATTTGAAATATGAATTGCACTTTATTTATTAAATGTTACATAAGACAGTGTAAACTGTATTTCTAATGAAAATTCGTATAGCATGAATCAAAGAAAATCCCGCATTGCGCGCTGTTTGCTCCTACATTTACGTTTTCAACACTAATTAACTTTACAATGAATTAGCAAGAAAAATATCGCTTTATATATTATACATTTGACAAACGTGGTTATCAGCCACGGGAAAAAATCTTTCCTCACTGACAATACCAATGATCAAAGGCAGAGATCTTGAGCAACCTAGCTAGCTTATTATTTGTTTCGATGGGTGGACTAATGGGTGAATCGATCAAGGGATTCAGTCCCTGCTTTTCTACTACTGGATCAAAAAGGACATTGCAAATGTGATATATTGCTTGTAAATGTTCTTTCTTGCCATAAGAAGGCTTCAGCTGGTCTACTCAATTCATACAGCGAAGCATATCCTGAAGATTGTTGGTTGGCCAGATAACCAACTAGAATCTCAGACAATTATCGCGCTCAAGGATCGAAAGCAGTTCCACTAAATGATATGCCACTATGGAAAAGTTCCTTACTTATGAGAGACAAGTAGTGGTAATGAATGCTAATGCGGCCTGTATTGAGATCCATTAAGGTCACTTGCGGGATTGCCCCTAAAATTTTCAATGCTCTCATACATTCCCACTTCTCTAATCTTTCAATAACAATTTTCAATAATACTTTTCACATATCAATTCAAATTATTCACTGCAACGGATTTGAAAAATGAAATAAGTGCTTTAAGAACACGATGAAAATGATCGTTTAATATTGTTAGGTAATCAGTAGCATATATCGAAATAATCAAAGTTAATTGGTTTTGGAGTTTTTTTGTTTTGACGCAAACCATAGCATTGAGAATGACGAAGGTTATCAGGAGGCTTTGTTGCGAGGCACGAACTGCACAAGTAAACAATTCCCACGATGAAATTTGGACGAAATTCATTTGAGTTTTGAGTTGTAAAGGTCAGGGTTTTTTCGCTTTATGAATCTCGTGCGTAGTAATCACATCGGTAGTTTTGCGCAGCATTTATGCGGATGAAGATTACTTTCACAGGGAGTGTTTCTCGATCGCTTCGACTATAGTCAATGCGCGGAACGAAAGTTGTAACACATTTCATCATTTTAACTGTTCTCTTTGTTTAAGTAAGAATGTAATTGCGTGCATAAATTTTCTGAATGAAGTCGCAGAGACGATAAAAGTTTAGTAGGAGTAGCGATCGAGTACAGAGATTATAAGGGCAAGAGTAGTGGGTAGGGAGGAGCTGTGGCTGAGAAATGAAAAATAAAAAATTGGATCGATATGAATATTGTGGGTGTGAGCGGGCCGTGATGCAAAGAAAGCGAGTACGTGGATAATAAATCGAAGCGGCCGCGCTGACCTACAGGAGGAACGTCTGGAGTCTTGCCCACAGTCAAACGCATACGCCTTCGGTGCATGGTTTGAGGACGCCCACACTTTCGTGTACGCCCGATCTTCAATGTATACGCTCGCGCACGGAATTCCTCGGGCGTGATGATGATGATGATGATGATGATGATGATGATGATGATGATGATGATGATGATGCTGACTCTGCAATCAGCGTGAACCTTCTCGAGGATACTTTGTTTCTTCTTTAGCTACGGTCACCCGACAAGTGCTCGGACATAGAGTTCCAGAAGATCATTCCAAGAGCAGCTGGCTCATCTGTAAACTGTCAAGAATTTATTTTGCAATTAACACTGCAGTAAGCTTTCCAGAGAGTATCTCGTGCTTTTATCGGCCTAGACTTTGAATTACATAATTGCAGGCTTCGCTTCGCGCTTCGTCAGCAAGATAATGCGCAAAAACTCGTTGGAGCCATTGAGCGATTGAAAAGGAAAGTGAAAAAAAATTGGAGACTCGGCATGCTCACGTGCGGCTTTTCACGCATATCGGCTGCATTTAACATCGTTATATGAGCGCTTGTGCAACGGTATTGCCGCGTAGTGAATGTGGCGAGAGAGAAAGAGAGAGAAAGAGCGGAAGACCGAGGGGCGTCCCAGGCCTTTTCGGCCGCTGGGAACCTTTCGAGGAAGAAAAGTGCGGCGCGCGCCATCATAACTTTACGCAGCTTAGTCGAGTTTTCCTTTTCTGCCAGCAGCAATTAATCTCGTACGCTCCACATATGCCCCCTTTCTATTCGGCTGCTCGGACTCGCGTTGAATCATTCTCTGAAATTTCTCATAGTTGGTGCCAGCACGCGCCTCAGCAGGGCTATGGAGCACTCGTTCACAGTTTTCGTTCGAGCAGGCCGAACGCATTGTTAGAGCACGCGCACGGCGCGACGGCCGATCGTCCGTTTTCCGCGATCAGTCCGGCTGGGCTCTCCTTGCTGGAAGACACGAGCGCGATTTCGTCCGGGCAATTGGTCTACCGTCATTACGCCTACTTAGAAGCCGTCTCCGACGCTGATTTACCATCAGCGGACGTATCTTGCCGAAGTATCGAGGCGAACCGAGAGAACATAGCGAGCTACAAGTTTTTCGTGATTTATGCGCTGATTACGCTTTATGACAAGCCCACAACGATAAGCGAATATTGCCGCTATGTAAGCCAATGCCTGTTTGTAAACTGTTCGATGAAAGAACAACGGTTATTGCATCGACGGCATTTCTGAAAAATTCCGAGATAAGGATGTCGGAGAGCCGCAAATTTTTATTCCGCATGGGACGACCGCTCGTGTAGCCAAGCTTTCGACTCGACTGTCATTGATAAACTCGAGCGACTCGGGATTCGTACGTGCTTTCTTTGTTTTCGTTTGTTTTAGCGCGGTTCAAAGCACATTTCTATGCCAGTACGTACAGCAGGCAAGTCTCCATATATTTCCATACAGCGCCGCGCCACACGGCTTGTCGTCGTCGTCGTCATCGTCGTCGTCGTCGTCGTTGCTGTCGCCGCCGCCGCCGCCGCCACGCCGCCGCCACGCCGCCGCCGCGCTGCCACGCCGCCGCCTCCGCACCACGCCGCGCGGAAAATCTGCAGCGCTTACTGGCCACGTTTACGCTCCGCCACTCGCAGTCAGTTCGATTGCTTGCGCTCTAGATAACAGCTGTGAGAGCTTCGTTTCTCTTGGACTTTCTACAAAACTTTGGCAAAGCATTTGAGTATTTGAAATCACTCGCTCGCTACTCAATTGCGTTGCTCCTAGAGTAGTTTGCTTACATAAAAGATTTTCCGACAAGCTCGTAAATCTGCCGGGAGAAGTGCCGTGTCTACGTACACGTATGTGGTAATGTGCGTCAGTGTTTTTGCTCTTACTTAATGTACGACCGTCAATGAGATTAGACTGAAACAAGAAAAGAAGAGAAGGAACGATCTGGAGGCAGGAAATCAGGTAAATCAGGCAAACGCGCCACGCGATATCGTATCGTTGGCTGTTTTTCCACGATGAACGCACGAAGCGGTGGATATAGATGCGCGTAAGGACGCGAAGCAACGCGCAGGTAGAAATGGTGCCGAGCGTCGTATTTATTCGGCTCGGTATCGAATGACGACTGAAACAATGAGAATCGTGCGACGATAGAGCTGGGCATACGTAACGACCATAACGGCAGCCGTTGTCGCGCTGGCCGGAGCCGACTTTCGAAGAGGCAGCGCGATCGAGATACATCCCACTGCGATTCGAGTGCAGATGTCAACGGCCGCGAGTCTTAATTATCCGTGGCGAGAGTTAAAAATAGTAGGCGCGCGAACGGCAAACACCCTCGGTACTAGCAGCACCTACAGTACGCACTCTAGGCGCGTTTCGTATGCGCGGGTGGAAAGCAGAGAATCAGGGGAGGTCTAACGGCGAGCCAGGGCGGGGGAGGGGCGCTCCTCGACCGCCTGCCGGCCTGCTGGCGTCGCGCGCGTGCTCTCTCTCTCTCTCTCTCTCTCTCTCTCTCTCTCTCTCTCTCTCTCTCTCGCTCACTCACCCTCGGCGCAGCGTACATGCGCGCGCTGCTCCGCCCGGCTCACTTACTCCAGCTCTGGGCGTCGCGAGCGTCGGCCAGTTGCCACTTGGATCATTGTGCCAGTCTTATCTTCGTTAGAGCCTGCGAGGTTGCGCCAGCCGATCGCCGTTACTGCGCTCTGGCATCGACAGCAAGGTGTGTGCACTTCCATCCCGCTGACGGCGCATCTCGGGCCGTCCGCGCTCGCGCACTCCCGTCCCCGTCCGCTCGCACTCACGACCACAGCTCGACGGCGAGGTTATCTCGCGAGCTTGTAAGCTCGCGCGTACGCTCTCCTGTCCCCTCGCTCTCTGACACGTTCTTTCGCTGTTTTTCGCTCGCGCGGTGCGCGCAGTGCTTCCAGCGATAAACCTCCGCGACACTTGTCCGACAGTGCATCGCCGCGATATCCGCGGCTCGTCTTTTCAGTCTCCTTTCAATTTGCGGCTCGCTATCGTCGAGATTTTGCGAGCCAGCGCGATGCGCTTGTTTGTTTTGCCTTGCTAGGCGCCGTGAGATAACGGGCAGACAAACGTGACAACGAAGTGGTTGACTGGCGCAACATTATCGACGCACTCGCTTCGATTCGGAGCGCCACGTGAAAAATCGATGAGTGCACCAAGTGGCAGCGAGCAGGTGAGAGCAGCGCGCCCGCGGCCTTCGTCGAAGCTGCGCCTCGCGAGCCCTCCGACGCGTTGACCATCGCTCATTAGCGGTATATGCCCACGCTCCGCGGCCCAGCTTTGGCCAACGATCGATAGTCTCGAATAATAGTCAGGTCTTGTTCTGTTTCTCCTCCAGATCAGAGAGCAGCCAAGCGTAAGTGGAACACCAAAGAAAAAGTAAGAGAGCCAAAGTTAATGCACTGAACAAAGTATCGGAATGAGCTGCAGCAAAAAAGAGTCCGCGGGCCAATCGGCGGAGAAGCTTCGAATAAAGTGACAACACGGACAATCAAAGAGTCATCGTCGCGGCAAAAACCACGAGCCAGACAAGTTAAGACGTCCACCCATCTGCTGGACGAATGAAAGAATTAAAGAGGGCAGCTAGTTACTGCAAAGCGGAGCATCGTCGCTGCAGCCACCGGGCAGAGCCACTATCCGCCATTACGCTACAGAGCGCGGCAAGAGGGAGAGGAGAGCGAGGATCATGAATCGCTGGCACTGGTGCTGCTCCACGTCGCGCGTTCCACGCTGCAACCTCGGCAGCAGCAGCAGCAGCAGCAGCAGCAGCAGCAGCAGCCAGCCAAGCGCAAGCTCTGCGAGACTGGTCTGGCCGCAGTAGAGGGGAGCTTCTTTTGTGCACTAGTGCGCTTTATTGATTTTCGGAGCTTCGCAAAGTGCGCGGGGAGAGGCGCCGGATGATCCAAGCCGCACTCGAACGCTGCGGCGTGGATAAATTGCAGAGCGAAGATCGAACGAGGGCGCGTTAACGAATCTATAAAAGTGCAGGCCCGAGGGCAAGCGAGGTCCGATCGTGACCGAAGGCATTAACGAGCGCGTCGCGTGCAGCCTGCGCCCAGGATGCCGCCAGCGCAGCCGAGGCGCGGCACGTGGCTCCAGGGCTCGGTGCAGGAATAGGCTGCTGGAGCGCAACCGGAGCGAGGCTGTCGGCTCTCGCGAGGACGAGTGAGCGAGAGCGAGAGCGCGCGCGACACGCCGGAATCGATCGAAGCCGGCTGGCTGCGCCCAGCGCACCGACGGCAGCACCGACAGGAGCAATGGCCTCCAAACAGTCGGCGAGCGCCTGTGCCACCAGGTAAGCTCGCTTCTCGTTCCTTCTCCATGCCTTCTCTGCACGATTTCACATGCGCAGCTCGCGGATGCCTGGCCCCGAACTTTCGCAACGAGCACGTGGCTTAGCACTCTTAAGTGGCGGGCTGCCGGCTGCCGGCTGCCGGCTGCATTGACGAAACATCTCATTTCTGTCCTCTTTGTTCGCGCTGCGCGTGCACGTAACGCCGAGCTAGCATCAGCAATTTCGCTGCACTCTGTCGAAACAAAAAGGCTGACCGGATGCCGCGTTCCGTCGGCGGCTAATCAGCTTGTGCGTGCTCTCTCGACGTGCAATTAAAGGAAGCCAACGAGCAGACCAAAGTACAACTCGCCCAGTTGCCTCCTTTCCTCCTTCGCTTGCGCTTTGCGCTTCTTTTCAGAGGAAACTACAGAGTCGTCGTGGTGCACTGCACGGTCACTAGTCGCGCAGTCCATCTATATTTAAGCTACCTGTATACAGCATCAAAGTTCTGCTTTACTGCCATTGTGCGTCGTGCGCCTTTCGGCGCTCTCACACCAGCGACTCCTCTCTCTCTCTCTCTCTCTCTCTCTCTCTCTCTCTCTCTCTCTCCCTCGTGCGCGCATTGTTCAAAGCCATGAACTTGATGCGACATGGCAGTTGCATGTGCAGTTGCAGTGGTGTTGTATACAGTGTCGTAAAGTCCGCTTATGTCTTGATCGATCGACACGGCTCCCCGGAGACTCGCTCCGAGCTGGTTTTTTCATTCTTAAAGTTATCGAGTTGGCTGAAGGCCGCGAGTGAAATGCTCCTTAAACAAGATGTTCAAGTGGTTCAGGTGGACTGGTGAGCGCCGTTGATGCAAATATCTTTTCGCGAGTAGACGTGATTAGGCGCGGTTAACACAAAGTGTCAGGCCATTGCAAATACTCGTGAGCGATAACGCCTCGCCTTTAGCATCAAACGTGAGTTTCCACTCTTTTATTATCTTAGCGTTATCGCGTGCCGAGCTCGCAAAAAGAAGAAGCTTGGCGCCGCAGCTCTACCGGCAACGCAAAGACCCGGACGCGCGAGGCTTGGTCGTGGGAGTACTACAATCGAGGAGTTTGTCTTTGCACGGCACAAGCGAGGCGTAATTTTGGTTTTGGCCGTGCATTGTCACGTTAAGGTGAGCGAGCGCGTCGCGTCGCCAGTCCAGCAGAACCGCGAAGAACGTTAGCAGTGTCCTTGACGGGCCACCGTGAACTTGGCGTGCATTCGCGTAACGCAAAGCGGCCGCTGGCTGTCGTTCCGTTCTAGCCGTTGCACGCATCCGCCCGCACCTCTCTCGTCGGCAGTCTGCGACTGCTCTTCCGTCGTACGCGCGCGTCGCCACTCGAACCGCGCGCACGCACCATTCATAATGAAATCGCGCGGCCGCACTGCTCTTCCTCTCCGTTCTCTAGATGGCTCCCTACTTCCACACTACGCTATCCCAGCGTAAGTGGAATTTTAACGAGCGCCGGCTTCGCTTGCCGGCGACAGCTGCTGCTCGTTCCTCCGCTGGTTTTCCGCAATTTTCACTCCATAAAACCAGCGCTCATTTTTTATAACAGTCTGATTAAATGCCTATTTCTGCTTACAATTGCTTTTAAAAACGTTTCCTTATTTTTCTCAACTGTGCCTTTTCTGGTTGCACCGGTAAACGTTGCTATTTCCTTCTTTGCACATTTTACAAAATTCTCCTGAAAAATATCCTACAAAGAGAAACTACCATAGGCTATAGATCGGAAAGCTAGTGAAGCATGTAGCTTTGGGCGAACGTTAATCAATCATAAACTTGTTCGCTGTACGGAGAATAAAAGTCCTTCTGAGAATGAGGTTAAGTAAATTAAAAATAGATATAACAATTAAATCTTTTGTCACTCACAGGTGTAAATTCAGTTAGTATAATACACATGCCGTATTATATCCGACTGTACGTCATTTGGCTCCGAACACTGAATGAAGCCTTAGAGCAAGCGGCAAAATGTACGATGTTCTCATTAAACAACACATTATTTTGCGTATTTATATGTTTGGGGAGCAAAATCTCAAATCTCAACATTGTACCATTCGAGCTGAGCGTATTGCGGAGATGTTCGGTGACGCAAATCTGCGCTTGGCACCTCCGATGCGATACTTTTGCGGAAAGGGGTATCGATCCGAGGCATCAGATACGAAGCTCTTCAATAACCGAAAGGATTCTCACGGACAGGTCAGGAGTAAAAGTTGCCGGTAGGCAATAATCGTGAAAAACTGGTTGATAATGAACACGACGGCCAAGCACTTCCCAAGCGCGTACAAAGCATAAAACGCGAATGACGTTTTGGAAAACGAAATCCAACAAAGCGGGCCTGCCGCGATAACAGTATTGAAGAAAAGTAGAGCGAAGTAGGTTATAGACATAGATGCACATCACCAGGTCGTTCGCTCGCGGACACAATGCGAGAAAGATAGCACGGCGAGGTACAGCACAAGAGCACGGCTGTCCGACTAATTATCGGTCATTACGGGCACATTGCGATACATCCACTGTTCCGCAGTTCTCCTCTCTGGGCTAGCACGCTAAAATCGTAGTTGAACGCTTCGCGCCAGCAGCTGTACCCGCTGCTCCATCGTTCAAGCTCCAATTGTTGCTCGCTTTCTTCTTTTCTTTTACTTTTCATTTGCCGTGCCGCGGAGCTGAAATCCATTTGCCGCTGAGCCACGCCGCGGCAATCGATCCGCTTTGATTGCCGCGAGAGGCTCGTTTTCCTCTTTCGATGCCCAGCCATCGGAAGACCGAGCGAATCCACGCAACGGCGAGTCACTCGCGCACAACGAAAGCTCAGGCTTCCGCGAGTCTCGGGAAGCAATAATAATAATAATAATAATAGTCGGCCGCCGATGGCTACGAATTCATCGGCATAACGGTACGCAAGCTTTCCGAGGCGCACAACCTCGCTTGTATTTGCTTCGGCTGCAAAACGTGCCTTGCGAGAGAGAAAGAGAGAGAGAGAGAGAGAGAGATGGATCAGCAGCGAGTTCGTCGACAAACGGGCGCTCGCAAAAGCTCCTCCAAAGCGCGTCGAGCGTACCTGCGAGCGAGCGCAGCCTTACGTAAGACGCCTGCTTCTCGCGGCTATGCCCGACCGCGACGCGTCAACGACAACTCGGCTTAGAAATGTGCTTACGTAATGTAATACATCGTTAACGAGCGACCAACATTTTAGCGTTGCCGCCGAGCTGCCGATGCGCCGAACGTTCCGAGTGCTCGCCGGCTTGCCGCTAATGGTAGCCGCGCGCGCGGAACACCTGCCGACGAGCGCAGCTTGAAATTGAGCGTTAGCTAACTCTCTTCGGCCAGCGCACAATCGCCTGCAATCGCCTGCAATCGCCTGCAATCGCCTCCGACACAAGTACATTTCATCGACAGCTCACGCGCATTATTCAAGATTTGCATTGTAAATGGACGCACGTGCCAGCGATGCATTTGACGGGCTAGCCCAGTTACTGCTTCGAGGCAAAAGTCCAATTAATTGGTTTTCATAGAGAAAGCAGCGCGTCGCGGCAGTCAGCAGCGCAACTTTCATATTTTGAAAGTGAGCTCCGCCCCCCACTCTCTCTGCCTAATCTGGACTAATCTGGCTCATCGTGCACTCGTTTGAATAATAGGTCGCTCGTATCCGACCAGAATCGGGAGTTGGGACAGCGCAGGAGCGCGTATTGACTTGGGAGAGATGGAATTGAATGCGCGCGTACGCGAGAGGAAACGAGCTCAGAAGCGTCAAATGTGGCGGCTCGACTCATGTCTACGCCCAGTGTAGCTCGCGAAGCTCGAATGGCGTTACAAGCTGCCTTCGTTGCTTGGCCTGCAGCGGCGAGAAGCGAGTATTTTGCCCCCTCGCCTTCGCGGCCGGTCGACCGAGGCTGTCGCTGCTTTCCGGTCAGCCGGAGTAGCGCCATCTGCGCCGCGGATCAAGGAAGCCAGCGTATCGCGATGCCTGGACTTGCCTCTGCACAGTGGCCAGCAAGCGCGTACGCTTTAACGAGGCGCCGAGCGACACACGCGCGCCTAACGGCTCGTCGAACGCCAAGAGCGAGCGCACTCCTTCGCTTGCGCGAGACAAGTCGCAGAGCTCCAGCCGCGCGGGAGCAGTCTCGTTCGGGCGGCTCGCTCGTCTGGATGCCAGCGAACGACCAGGACAGGGGACGAGGAGCGCGAGTGGCCGGGGCGTGTCGAGGCGATAAGGTGCTCGCGGCTCCGCTCGTGTGTTGCTGCTCTATAACGGCTAATTGGCCGGCCGGCTCTGCGCACCGTCGGCGAAAGAACGGCTCTTCCCTCCTCCTCCTCTGCCGCCGTCTGCTCGCCTCGGCGGCCAGCTGCGTCGCGGCCAGCCGCGGCCAGTCGCGGCGCCTCCTCAGTGCGCGCCAGTCGGCTCTCTAGTATCGAGTCTCAGTGCAGCTCGCGACGCGCGCTCGAGGCCAGTCCGCTGGCGAAATGATCGTGTGCCGGACGACGCTCCGCCCGACTGTCCTCGTTTCTCCGTGATCCTCGGCGCCGCTCTCCTGCCAACTCCTCCACTCGAGAATGTGTTCGGCGGCCAAGCTCCCCTCGGCCCACTGCACCGCAGAGTAAGTTTTCCCACTGACGCGAAGCTCTTGCGCTTGGCAAACCGATGCCAGCTCGTGCTTGGTGTCTGACAACATGACCATGTTCATCATTTACGCCTCTCAAGAAGGCTACGAGCTGTGTGATGTTTTGTCCAGTCGCGCGGAATACGTTAAGCAAGATTTAAATTAAAATTCGAAGACCGTGTCGGAAACGCTCTGCCTTTTCTCTCTACGATTTGCTCAGTGTACTGTAACCAAGAAACCAGTGAACTTGCTCGCTGGAGGATACACTCTTTCTCAGTGCTTAGAAAGTGTATAGCCGTGACTCCTCGGAAATTGTTCTGATAACTGTCCTTTGATTGCTCTTCTCGACTGCCATTGTTTTATCTTTGTCGAAGCTATGCTCGATCTGTGCAGACGATACGGGAAGAAAACAACTTTTGACGTTTCGTTAATCGATTCGTTAACCGCTTCGGAATCTCATGTATCGTGAAAGCAGAGAAACATTAGGACAAACTACTAAAACACATCAACGCAAATCAACACAAAACAATTTATATACTAACAGCACTAGCAGTTCGTGTTCTGATACTCTGCGTGCGATGGGTCGCCCGAATAATGTAGATCACGTCGCGGCTGCAATACGAGCGGCATCGCTCTTTGCGAGTCGTGCAAACTGTTAGAGGCTGATTTCGCATGCGCCAGGGCCAATGACCATGTGCAGGCTTATTTAGAATTGCACAACTCTTGATGAGTCGACGTTCTCAGTCGGCCACTCGCCGAGTTGTGCAGTCTCCCCTCCGACACTAAATTAATTGCACTCGAAATTCGTCAAAGTTCGTATCGTTTCGGATACGCGTTTCGATTTGCTTTAGCGCTATCGGCAGACTATGCTCTCTACTTACAGGCCCAGAAAGATTAAAAAATCAAAGCTGCAAATAGATTTTTTCGCACGCTGTGCGTCCTAGCAAGGAGCATAGAACACATGGACATCCTGAAAGCAAAGTGCTGCGCGCATGCGTGATGCGCCTTCCGAGCTGTAAACATGGCGCATCGCACAAACACAACGTACTTCACTTTTGAACCGTCTATGCGGTTCTGTGACTTCTGTGTCGACTGCCGAGAGCGCAGCATTGCGCCTTTAGGGGGATGCGCGGGAAAATCATGTATGCACCACTGGAGTACAGCAGGCAAACGAGGCACTGCGTGAAATGTCGAGCTCGTTTCGCTCGGTCGGCAATGTCGCGCGGTGCGTCCATTGCTCACTGAGCTCCCTTGGTGCATAATGTACTGTGAAGCGGGAGGCAGCAGCTGACTTTGAACACGACCTGACCATTCGAAAGTGTGCTTGGAATGCCCAGCTTGTTTGGCTTCTTTGCCCTAGAACAAGTAGAATGATCGTAGTCAGATGAACGCATGAATGCGAGTCATATGAATCCATTGAAAAGATTGTAACCGAGCAGCTTTCAAGTGATTAGGTAGTAGCTCTATGCCTCATAATTGATTAAAGAAATTTACGGTAAATTGCCAAACGAATGGTATATGGACGAGAATCGTTTGTACAAATGCATGATGTTATTTTACAGGTCGCCAAGGATCGGTGGCCCTCTCTCGCAATCGCTGGCAATGATACCGCCAACGATGCACGGCCATGAGTTCAACCAGCCCCTGTCACGGGTAGTGATGGTGCGCAAAACTGACCAGCGGACCTTCAGTAAAGGACGCCGAGGGGGCGAGCCTGTGCTCGAGACTGTCACTCGCGAAACCGTCGAACTTTTCAGCGGCGGCCGAGCCGAGAGAAAATACACCTCCGAGACGAGGGACATTGTCACGCCCAAGTCGAACAGGTGCACTATTTTATCAAGTTCTTGCTCAACCCTCGCTGTCTAGACCCGCTATCTTTACAGTTTATAGAGTTAGAAATCTATCTTACATCGAACCGACTTTAGATCGGATTTAGATCTGTATCTAATTACTTTGCCATTTCACTTGGATGGAATTTTCTTAATAAACCGTATTAAGTGAAATTGTTATAAAGTTGATGCAAGATGAATCTGACGATTAACAAAGCGAATGCTTTGCGCTTGAAACTCGGAAAGTCAAGCTACAACAGTTACTTCGACGAAAGTTTCAGAATGTTTATTATGGTTCCCCTTGTAGTGTGTCCTTGCTCGATGTAAACGGAACAAAAAAAAAGGCCGTCGCCTTCGTCGACCAAGTCTCACCCGAAAGGTACAAAAGTAAAGCGTAGAATTCTACTCGTGTATGTACGCGTATCCACTTTGCGGAAGTTGATTGAATCACCTGTGGCCTAGCTTATACATTATAACATCGGTATTTCTTCTTCTTCAGTTGTGCCAGCCATAGAGAAACAAAATCGAAAACTAAACTATTGTGAGTCTGCGAATAAGCTAATCATAGCTGCATTCTTAATATTTTATCGACGGATAAATTTTGCAAAGTGAATAAATGCTGAATATTAATTGTTCGAAGTAGTTGAAAAAATGCTCGAGTCAAATCGGCGAACTGTCATCGCTTTGATTTATCAAAACGATAGATACGGAGAAATTGTTTCTCAATGAAGGCACGAGTCACGTATACGCCTGGAAGTAAGTAATATCGTGGAATTAAGTAATAATGTGGCAATCGGCTTGATTAAGGTGTGAAAAACCTGCGATCACCTGTAAAAATCGTTATCTCTCTCGTTATCTGACACACATCAAACCACTCGCATCAATATACTGAACGGCACGCAGCTTCAACGTCTATACTAGCAGGTCAGGTTCAACGCCTTGGTTTGCCGCCTAGTTTCGTCAGATGCGCAACAATAAATCAAGTCGGCGGCGAAATACAAATGACACGTGTATTTTCGCAGAGATGGAAAACGTTTATTTACAGACGCAATCACTCTCTGTTAAATGATTCGTGTCCACAAGCCACGTGCAAACATGAACTAGTTTTGTGAATGATACGCTGTTCGTCTATTGTCGTGTAATCGAAGCCACATTAGCATAACAGCGACTGCGATGTTGCAACAGTATCACTGTTATTTGTTAATTTTTTAAAGGCCGTCGGTATTGCTTACTTTAGGAACCGATTCATGTCAGATAACTTGTCAAGGCTCATCGGCTTACGTACCTTGCGTACTTGCAAACACATATTGTACGTACATATATGTTTCAACTCTTATCTGCTTGGAGTTGGAACACTCGTTCGCCCGTTTCATTTCTTTCAATATTCTTGCATGCTTTCCTCGTTCAATAGTCAGCATAATGAGTGTATTGCCCTGCAAAGCCTCCTAGCCAAAGCGAAATATATTGATTTGCTATTGATCTTACGCTACCATACCTTGACACATTTACCGCTTGTTATCTCAAAATCAATTATATATCGCCTGAATATTGCATATGCCAGTAGAAAAAGAAAACAAAGCAATACGCAATGAGAAAACAGTACGATTAACGTAGCGCTGCTCTTTGTTCGGTATAGATTTTTGTCTTGTCTGCGCGGAACATGAAAAACCAATAAAGCATCTGCTTGGCTGTGTATAGCGTATCGAACGTTATAATCTAATCTGTTCGACTTTCGCCACACGATCGGTGCAAAATCGTTTAAAGTAGTTTGACGAGTACTCAAAACACTTTCTGCATAACGACGAGATCGCTTGTCGTTTGTTGTTGCTCTTGGCGACAAACAATCGCTACTTCAACTCTATTTAGCGGAAAGACCGCAAATTGCTTTCTAGCGGTTTCTCATCTCCACCACTTGGCTTATCTTCTATTTTTCGTTGAACGTTTCACTTTCCGACTCCCCCCACCCCCCTCTACTTTCGTCGGACGTTTGCTAGATATACATCATTAGATTGCCAGTCCATCGGGTATTCGAAATAAAGACATCGCATCCATAGATTCTCCCTCGAGATCGTTAATACATTCAGATATTTATACGTAATCGATTTTTCACGCCTCTAAGCTTCTCATTTTAATTGATTGATAGGTAATCAATATAATTGGCGTTGTTAAAAATGATTCGTTGCTTATTGACCTAGCAGCTATTGACGAAAGTCGTGAAAAGTTACTACTTTTTTGACGATTTTCTGAGTAAATTGATGACAACGATATTGTTCTTAGGTCACGTGCCGAATCGGTAAGGTCCAAGTCGCCACTGACAGCATCGCCCGCTTCGCCTGGTCCTCTGTCCAACTCGTTTCACGGCAGTTTTCACAGTAGTTTGGGCAGTGATGGAATGTCCTGTAGCAGCGCCAGGTCTTCCTCGGCCTCACCCGACTCCGCTCGCTACTCATCTTCTCAGGTATCAAAAGATTCACAGAGATCAACACGTTAATCCAACGAATCGTGAGCCTTCGGTTAATCTACTAATTAATAGCTAATTTCCATGTAATTGCATTCGTTGGAACAGATAATAATAGTTAGAAAGCACGAGGCAGGCCATAATAAAATAAATTGCGTGGAGACGGATTTCCCGTTGAATGATCGTTGCTATCGGGAGCCGTTAATAGTGAATGTATAGGCAGATGCACGGCAAGCGCGTGTGCCTATCGCGAAGTGCACGGAAGTGAGCGCTCGGTGATCGGCGATTTCCATTAGGTGCAGTATTTACGTGAACGCGTGCCGCGCGAGATCAAGGATAGACGTGCAGCGCGTTGAGACGAGGATTTCAGTGACGCCGCGATGATGGGAAATTGGTGCAATAGTCGGTCAGCTTTCCTCGCTCGCTTTTCAGTTCGTCCGTGCGCAAGTGCGCAAGTGCCCATTAGCATAGACCGCTCGTGAGCGCGCCAAAGATGCCAGCTTAATCTTAAGGCTTAACCACGCTATCTCTGACGAAGGAACTTTGTTGGTGCATGTTGTAGATAACAAAGACTGAACCACGTAAACCGTCTGTGCGCAGATCTGGCCCATCCAAGGAATTCGCGAGCGCGTGTCTCGAGGCGCACAACTTTTACCGATCTCGACACGGGGTGCCACCCCTGCGGCTCAGCAGACAGGTTAAGTATTCTCGCTGCTCGCCGCTCGCCGCTCGCTCGGCTCCGAAGCTAATTGTCGCGTTGCGTGTTCAGTTGTGCAAAGCTAGTCAGGAGTGGGCGAACGTGCTGGCCACGCGGGGGAGGCTGGAGCACCGGGCCAACATCGACTACGGCGAGAACCTCTACTGCATGTGGAGCTCCAACCCCAAGACCGTCGTCGGAGGCGAGGAGCCGGTGCACGAATGGTATTTGTTTGCTCGACAGTGCCGCTAGAGAGGCTCCCGTCTGAGCGCCCGTGCGTGGATGTGCGCAGGTACGCGGAGGAGGCGCAGCACCAGTACTGCAAGGAGCCGACGACCCTCAAGACCGGCCACTTCACGCAGGTCGTGTGGCGCGACAGCAGCGAGCTGGGCGTCGGCGTGGCCCGCAACCGCAACGGCGAGGTCTACGTGGTGGCCAACTACAACCCCGCGGGCAACTTCCTCGGCAGCTTCGTGGAGAACGTGCCGCCGACGCTGGACGCGGCCTCCGCTCCGGCCTCCGCTCCGGCCTCCGCTCCGGCCTCCACCCCGGCCTCCGTCCCGACCTCGGCGTGCGCCTCCGCCTCGGCCTCGCCCCAGCCCGACAAGCCCCTCGGCCCCGACATCCCCAAGATCCTCAGCGAGCGCGCCTGGCAGGAGCAGGCTCTGCAAGTGCACAACGAGTACCGCAGGAGGCACCGGGTGCCCGAGCTCAGGCTCAGCTCCGACCTCTGCGCGGCCGCCAAGGTGAGCACTGAGCGTTGCGCTCGACGTCGTCTGACCATGCGCCTTGTCATCCGATCGGCAGACCTGGGCCTGCACGCTGCTTAACACCAACAAGCTGATACCGCAGTCGTCCTCGCCGTACGGCGAAAACATATACTCGATGCAGTGCTCGGACCCCAAGCTGCTCGTCTCGCCCCGGGAGGTTGTCTCCAAGTGGTACTCGGAGCGGAAGGAGCACAAGTTCGGTACCGAGCCCAAGGTCCTCAACACATGTAAGAGTCGCTTTCCTGTGCGTCTGTGCGAGTAGCCGAGTGCTGAGCGAGTGCGCCTCGCGCGTTTCAGGCCATTTCACGCAGATCGTCTGGCGGACCACCAGCGAGATGGGCATTGCGATGGCCAAGCGCGACGGCAGCTGCGTGGTGGTGGCCTGCTACTACCCGCGCGGCAACATCGTCGGTCAGTTCACGGAGAACGTGCCGAAGCCGGTCAAGAGCGCGTCCTCATGACCGACGCCCAAGCCGCTTACCTAGTCCAAAGGCCGACCAGTCACGGCAAACTACTTGCTTGGCTGCCGATAAGCGAGGCAACGACTCGCCCACCCGTCGTCCGCATCGATCGTTCCTCTCAACCAAGGCATTACATCACAAGCTATACATGTATATTTCATTGCCTACCGTATGCATAGATGTGTAAGTCAAAGCTCCCTCCCACGCCTGTCCATATTGACTCAGCCAAATGCTCGCTCGTATACAGCGACGGTAAACGTTAAGCAAACTTTTCTTCTTTTTTACTGACGCATGTACACACGCTGGCTGTCGTCTAACAGTTGACTCTTCTTGCTTTTTCCAACTCCAGCCGACAGCCACGATCCAAGATTTACCACTATTATTATTATCGTCGTTCTCATTCCACTTTTCTTATTTCAATGCACTATCGCAATTTCATTCTTATAGTTATGTATAATGATGAAAAAGACCCATTCGAGTATTGGCTAAACAATAACGCACAAACAAAGTGAAGGTTACGTTTATTATTTGCGCCTTCGTTACTGTTACTACCAAGTTTGTATTATTTCAAGCGATGCTGTAAAAACAAACGTCCACTGCAAAGTAAATCCTGATCTACTGTCAATATTATAATATTATATAAGTAGCACGAATTACGAACAAAAGTTTTTCCCTTACCTCAATTGGAAGCACAGACCTTAGGATAAAGTAAATAGAATTTTTCACGTTTCTCACGATGAATGATAAATTGAAACAAAATTCGCAATAGTGAGACTAGTTCTCTCTCTGAATACACTGAATACTAGCGACGCATAATAAGCGTACTTTGTAAATGCGACTACGTATGTATACGTGTTTAACACGTCGATAATTCATACATTCCGCGTATTTTGAATATGAACATATATATACGGAAATGCCGAATATAAAAGTGAATGTGGAATAAAATATAAGTAGTATGACTTAATATTTTATTATCACCAAAAAAATGTAATTCGATAGTTCTATTAATTTTCGTTAACCTATTATTTATTTATGTATTAAGTATACATAAAATAAACGATTGTTTATATTGATTAGTTGGTGGATATATTTTTTCAGCCGTACCCGTTTCCAACTGATGCTAGATCTAAGTAGTATAGGTTTCTATGGTATGAAATCATTTACTAATTAATTGTCTTTGTATCAATTTTTTTAATTCATAATAAACTTTGTGTACATGCGAACTATCGTGCCGCAACGTTGCACACATCATTTACTTAGACTGTTTGCTTTTTTACTCTTGGTAATATACACAACGTACAGCTGTTTAAATATCTATATTTCCGCTTTTCTATTCATTTATTTTCGGTTTTTCTTGAGCATCTTTATTGAGATTTTCCTAAAAATACTTGTTCAATATGATTTTAAAGTCTACATAAAGTTTAAAGAGAAATTGAATCACGTCGATTACTCTTTTAATAAAACCAGTACCATTCATGCAAACGTAGCACTCAAAAAAGGTGACTATTGATCATTTCTATAAAAACTTTATCTTTTAAATGTACTGCATTTTATTGTAATTCTTTGAGAGTAGTTACATATATTTTACGTACTTGTTTATTATTTCGTGTATAACTTCCAATGTGTCGCAATGTCACCTTAACGTAACGTAATAATCACTTTACGGAAACAAATGTTTTCACGTTCATTAATAACTTAAATCCTTCCAAGTTATTAATAAAAATAATTATTGGCCAAAGTTTTTTAATTACGTCACTATATTTTTTCATGATGACTAATTTTCTAATTGTTGAATCGAGAAAGAATAATGTTACTGTACCGGATATTGTTTCGAAACTCTCTGAAAGATACATAAAATCATATTATTTAATGAGGAAAATGGTTTTTTATATAGTCTTCTTTTTATATCAGTTTAAAATGATATAAGTGTAAACGATGAATTCTTCGTAGTTTTCATTGCAGTAACATTTTTCTTTTTACATTTTTACATCCATACACTCTGTGAATATTTATTTTACTTATTCTACAAAATTTTACTTACTCTAAAAAATTAACATAGTGAAGTAAATTTCCGTGTGTGTACGTTTTTACTGCCTTTATTAAAAGTTTAAAATGCAATATAGCGGAGAGAAAAAATTATGCTCTATTTTCATTGCAGAATCAATAAACGTAAATGTAAAAAAACGATAGCGTGTATAAACATTATTGTATTTTTCATATTACATTAAAGTTAATATAACATTACATGTATCGACATTATTACGTTCAAACCGAAACCACAGGCAGCCTATATTGTGTTGTACTTATTTACAGTGCAATGAAGAATACAGAGTATGGTAGTTTATGCGTAGATGGTCAACTACATTAATTTTCAATAAATTTATGTATTTCTCAAAAAATTGTTGACTTGAAATTAGAAGTCAAACGGTGGAATATTGATAATAACGTTTTATAATGCTTATTTCATTAATACAAATAGAAGTTTGAACTGTATATTAGAAACCAAGTATTTCAAGATCCTTTCATGATAATGTATAGTTTATTTTGAAATTATCTTTCTCAAACTACTTTTGATCATTCTTATTTTAGACCATGACCCTTACCGGGCCTTCAGCATATTTTGCATCATTCCATGCACTTCATTACAACAACGCTAATAATAATAATAATGATGATGATGATGATGACAATAATAATAACAACAACAGCAATAATAACATAATAATTTTCAAATATAACTACTTTAGTTGTATGCACAATTTTCTATTTGTACTGGTTATTTTTTGGAGGTCAAAAAATGCTTTGATGAGAGAAATTAGACTCGTTGTTTTTGCATAATAAAGTTACGTTAAGTAGATTATGAAAAAATATTAAGAAAGAATTGAACGTTCAACAAAATAGTTTTTCTATGTGTCGGTTATTTATAGTCTAAGAAATTTATTGTTAGTACGTTTGTAAAATTTTACTGCACTATTCAATAAGAACTATATATATTTTATTTTTGCAATAAATTATTATATATCTTTTGATAAATCATTATTTATATTCTCATAAATAATTGTCCTTTGAAATGATTATATAGTGAATACTTAAATGCTCTTGTAATGATTGTTTATGAACTATTATATTGAAAATAGTACAGCAATGTGTATTAATTGTATGAAAATATCTGAATAACTCGATAACAAATTCACGTCTGGAAAAAGATGAGAATTAATTGAAATTCGAAGAGTATGTCGAATTTGATTAAATTCAATTATAAACTTTGTTTTAAAAATGTAACCTACCGTATTTACTATTCATAACATGTTTATCTACTCAGAAATTCAGGTACGCACGTTGGTCCGAAATAAATGACTATTTTTAGACTAGAACGGTTCACTTGTCTAAATTACAAATCTACAGTTATTTACTTTGAGACTTCAATATAGTGAGAATAATTTAAATGGAACAACTCAATCATTATATTCGTTAGTTGCTGATATTTTAATGTACAAAATTGTAATAACTATATACTAATTGTTTAGTTCTTGAATTTAACGAAAATATGAATAATCGAATAATCGCGCTTTGCATTAATTATGTTACCAATTAGATCTTAATGATTGCTTTAATGACTAAGTTGTTTAGTAAGGTCCCTCTTGTAATTTTATTTGGTTGTTCGCTTATTATACTTAAAAATTTAAATTTGACGGTTAATCACAAAAATACAAGGAAAATCCTTGATAACGATATAATTACCATCACGTTGTATAAAGCTGTTAAAAAATTAAAAATTGTCATCTGAACACTAATGACAGTTCCTAGTGAAGAGTATTAGTGTAAAGCCTCATACGAATATCTATGATTTGAATGACTATAAGAATTTGATGCGGATATTAAAAATCTCAACTGTTTACGCGCATGAGAGACTAGAAAGAAAAATACAATCTATAAAGTATAATGTTAAGAATCACATAGGTAATAGGATCAAGTTAACTTTGCACGCAAAATTCTACTATGAATCTACAGTTATAACGTGCCTTCTTTTAGTTTCTAAATCTTTATTCGCCTTTGTTCCGAATAAAACTTACTTTATAAATGATCCTTTTGTGATATGAGTTAGAATGGTCAATTTGTATATTTATTAAAGGTTCACTCTTTCTTTAATGGATAATTCTGACCGGTAGTGATAATACTAGTTAGCACGTTAGTATATATAAGTATATAATCGTTTTCTAGTACAAAATTATTCACAATGACGTCATATACATTTCGAAGGGCACTCAAAGGCGCTAATCATACACACACACACACACACGCGTGTATGTATATTTTGTATCTGTAGTAAATTTCATTATTTTCAGAATCCTTTATGTTTAAATTCCTTTTTGTCGAAATTCTTTTATATATAATAATATTAATAATATCATGTTATACGTACGAAACGATAATCGTTGTCATATCGTCTACACTTGAAGGAATACGTTTGACCAATGTTCTTATGAACCGTCTTAGTAACGCTTGGATCACATATCACTCTTATTTTTATACAAATTCTTGTGAAATTTACGTATAATAGAATTCAGTAAAAATAATTGATGTATACTCGTCGGTGAAGTGGCCTACAATTGGCATTCGAAGCTCACGGAAAGCATGCAGCTCGAAGAGTCTTTGAGGTTCTGCCTGGTGTTTGCACCGGCACAGTGCCATTAGGACACGAATTATTCGATATAATACACATCGAACTGCAGTAGAGACTCGCAGGGACAGTGTGTGGCTTGCTCTCGCATCAGCGTCGTTGTCTCGGATTCGAGTAGCGGGAGCTGCTCGTGGGCTCGACGGGCAGCCCGTGTAGTGGGGCACGCTACGGCCGCTTGTTCCGCACAACGCTGGACAGCCTGCGTCCCCACATGAGGTTGTATCATACGATGGTGCCCTGTATGTGCTGCGGGTCCTGCAGCGGCTCCCGTGGGCCGGCCGCAGCCGCGGGCCCCGGAAAGGAGGGCGGCGGGTCGTAGAGGCCGCCCATCGAGCCCCCGAGGCCGGGCCCCAGGCCCGAGCCCAGCAGCGGCTGAAGCGGCGGCAGCGGCGGCATCGACGGCAGGCCCACGTCCAGGATGCCGGTGTTGCTGGCCGAGCTGCCGGCCTGCGAGTCGCCCTCCTCCGGCGGCGTCACCTCCAGCCCGATCGACCCGTTCAGCGCGATCTTTATGGGGTTGTGGTTGGACGGGTACGGCAGCGCCCCCAGCCCGATATCCTCCAGACTGCTCTTGCGCCTCGCCGGGGTGCTCAGGCCCTGCCTGCAAGCGCGAGCCACCGTTAGTGCCTTTCCCACTGACTGCTTTCGCTCGAGCCCCCCGCCCCCACCCCTGGCAAGCAGGTCAGCAGCAGCGGCAGCAGCGGCAGCAGCAGCATCAGCAGCAGCAGCAGCAGCAGCAGCAGCATTACATGCCGTTAGTTCGCTTTGGTTTTAGTGAAATCGATCAGAGCGGACATGACCTACCGTATCGCACTTGGCCTCGCGACCGTCGCCGCCCTTCGCACTCCCTAGTACGGTGACTCCGGACTGCGAGAGTGGGGAATGGGCTGTAGAAGGTCAGAAGTGTGGGCAAGGAGAGCGCGCGACCCACCTCAAGGAATTGCTGCGCCTGAGGAGGATGTCGTCGACGACGCGCAGCGAGTTGGAGCGGCCCCTGAGGCTGCCCGCCACGGTGGGGCTGTCGGGCAGCGAGAGCGAGTTGGACTTGGTGTTGCCGAGGGGCGGGGCCCTGGTGACCCCGATGCCGGAGCCGCGTCGGCTGGCCGGCGCACCAGGCCCGCCGGCCCCGGCGCCCGAGGCCACCGCGGCGCTCATCTGCGCCGCCAGCTGGGCCGAGCAGAAGCTGATGTTGCTCTTGCGCCGAGAGTTGTGGCGCTCGAAGGTCTTCTGCGCGGAGAACGGCGACGGGCGCACCAGGTAGACGATGTCGCCCTCCTCGAGCTTCAGGTCGCACGACGGATTGATTATCACGTACGACAGGCTGTTGCGCTTCTCCGAGACGTCGTCGTAGTCGGCGATCGGCAGGTTCAGCGACTCCATCCGAGAGCGCACCAGGTTGGCGATCTCCGCGCGCTCGATCTGCTGGGCGTGATTGTCGCGCGCCTCGTCGCCCATGCTCATCGAGTACTGCCGATCGAAAGTAACCACTTCGGTTAGTAGTCCTTCGGCACGCTTCCCCCGCGTGGAAAAATTGGCGTGCTTCGCGAGCCTCCAGAATTGTCGCTGCTCTCATTTGATCGTTTCGTCGTGGAGCGATTAATTCTGAAGGTACCGTTTTACACGCTGCGTCAGCCATCAAACAAACGGACTTTCGTGTAATAACAGCGAAAATTCGTGCGTGCCTTGGCTCGTCGCCGAGCGTTGCGACGATTCTACTGCTTCGATAGCCGGACAGACGTGCAGCTGGTCTGCTTTGCGGTATTGAAGCAGGATTTTCCACTAAGCACGCGGCACGTTTGCTCCGAAAGGTGCTGGTTAAACAGTGCATGCACACCACCGGTGCTACTCTAGACTCTAAGCTGCCACGATCCAAAGGCCGTCGAGCTATTTCTGTGAAATTCTACTTGACTCTGACTTTCGCGCGAGCACCGTAGCGAATTACCGAAATGTCCGAGCGTAATGAACAAAGCCAGGGTCACGATCGCTCCCGTCGAAGGGTCAGCCGAGCGCGCGGACGCTCCGCACGACGTGCAAAGAAAAACGAGCCAATGCTCCGTTTCGTCGGAGTCGATTTCTCCATTTCTCCGAGCAGGAGCAAATCTGCGAGCGAACTTTCTGCCTTGGCAAAATGAGCAGTCCGCCACCTCGACGAGTGTGCAAAAGAGCACGAGCAGGACAACGACGGACGCGTTCGGAGAGCACGGAGAGCTGGCGGCGGCACGTTCGGTGAGGAGGACCTCTTTCAGAGCGTAGGCACGACATAGCTACATTGTTTTCCGATCCGCGACTTCCTTTGCCGGCTCATTTTTCGCCTTTTGCTCTTCCCACTCGTTACTCGGCCCCAACGGCACAAGCGCTTTGTACCTGCACTCCATTGTCGCTGTGAAAGCTCCGCGGACCGCGATGTCACACTTTGTTCATTTACGCACACGACGAATAGGCAAAGTAGCAGAAGCACAGAATGCATAAAGTAGAAAAAAATAGAAAAAAGAAAGCGAACAAACGAGCATTTATTCCAGTGTCACACCTTTGATTGTTCTAGCAGTACTATTCAATCGTCACGTTCACCGTACCTACGACTGACAATCAGTTGACGTCAGTGGATACTAGTTTTCATTGGCGCTCGTTGTACTTGTTTTTCGAATAACAAATTGGTCTTACTAATGCACAGCTGCAATGCTGCTATAAGGAACTACATCTCTAATGTGTCTGAGAAAACCAGTTTCTGTTGCATGCAACGTTACCAGGGAGTACGACGTCGCAATGACTAGTTCATTGCCAACTCGATCATTTACCAACAGTTTTATCACTTCTAATTTTCAAACTGTTCGATTTGGTGAAGAACTACGTGTGTCGGCGTTCTGACAGCTATCTACTAGCAACGGCTAAGCCTTTGTAAAAGCGATCGTAAAGAAAAAGGTGTGGGCATACTCGTACGTGAACACGCGCGCACAACGATATGAAAACAAACACCACATGCTCACATAGAAAACGTTTAAAGGTAACAGTAAAAATATCCAAGTACAGAGAAAGAGAGTCGATCGCAGCCGGCCATATAGTAGTAGTTGTGCTGGATGCAGAGAGAGAGAGAGAGAGAGAGACAGAGAGACAGAGATTGCCATCACAGGAAAAAGACAAACAGTACAAGTTGAGTAATTGAGTATATGTAAACAATGAGAAGGAGGCAAGAGATATTGAATTGGGAGAGAGAGAGAGAGAGAGAGAGAGAGATAAAAAGTAAGATAGGATGGGTGAATGCCCGTGGGCCGAGCGTACTCACAGCAGAGGTGGCCTTGTCGCGAGGCGCGCAAGTGGCTAAACAGGACGCGGCCGCCGAGTGGCGCATCTTGTATGTGACGCCGACGCCGGCGTCGCTTTCAGCGTCCGAGTCGCCCTAGAGAAAACAGAACCAAAAGCAAGCACAGTCTATCTACACTTACTTTTTCGCTCAATCAAACCTGCTCGCGCGTCATCTCACTTTCCCTCTCGTTGGTCTCCGCGACTCTTCCTGTTTGTACGCTTCTCGCTCTGTCTTCCACTCTTAATACATCATTTTCACACTCACTTTCAGCTTGCTTCGCTTGCATTGCATTCAAAACATTCGCGAGTGCGCTTTAATCAGTCATCTCTATAATGGCACGATGCAGAAATACGAGCAATCGACTTTTATTGTCTTGGCACAGATCAACTACGCACTACGGCTGATCGGTAGTGCCGAACAACGCCGATCTCATTGGTCTTTAGCGCTTCATCGTCTTGTACAAGTGGGAGCAAACTCATTAGGCGAGCAAGTAACAGAACCAACGCAAGGGGCTAGTAAAGTGGCGGATGGATAAGTAAGTCAATGTAAGAATAAGAAAAAGAGAAAGAGAGAGAGAGAGAAAGAGAGTGAACGAGCGAGATGGCAATCATGCGCTACTCACACAACTGAGGATCATTCAAAGGATTGCCCGACAAGTCCGTTCAAACGCCTTAGGAAGAGACAGGAATCGAATTCCGTGTGCTCGACAGCCGTATACTTGGCTATGTACGTGGGTAGTGTGTTTGCGCGTGTTTGTGTGGCTGGACGGACACGGGCGGTAAGGGTTCGCAGCTATAGCGCTTTGCCGGTCGTCGGATACTTACGTGAGAGGTGTCGACTAACGACGTGTCCTGTGTCCTGTAAATACCGATGGGAATTTCGCAGGTAGTCGAGCACAACTTCTGATACAGTCGACCGTAAGTCCTTATCCACATGTCGTCCTTGGTTATCTTCATCTGTAACCCGGAAAGAGAGAGATCTCGCGTTTAAATCGCTAGGACATCGCTTCGAAGAAGGCGCAAGCCAACAAAAGAGAAACCGACCGAGGTGAGGAATCCAGAGCCGGGCGCTTGGTCAACGCCCAGCAACAGTCTGACGAAAGTTATCACGTAGTCCTTGACGAAGGCCTGGTAGAGCAGAGTGTCCAACATCGAGGCGCTGAATACACTGCCAGCGGCGAAGGGCAGTCGGAACATGTACGATATGTGAGAGCCTCGCTCTTTCTCCCTCTGCTCGTCGCCAGCCATGTCAAACAGACAAGCAATTCCAATTAGCATCTTGCAGCCAACTCTCGGCAAATGTCATCTTTATTCTGCATCTACTTGACTCACTTGAAAATCTTGCTAAAATACATAATATATAACAGACAGATTTGCATATGTACAGATATCGATTGTACGGCCTAAGAAACGTTCAACCTTTCATACGAAGCGGAATCATGCTGTGCGCCAGCGGCACACATCGTCAAGTTCAACTTTTGCTACTTTTGCTTTTTTCTTTTATTTTCTATGCTGCACTACGCTTCTACAATATTTTTATACTTCGGGAATGGCAAATTGAGTGCCGTACCGTGAGTCTCCACTCTGCAAGGATACCGATAAATTTGGTCATGCTGTCGAGGCGCTACGACAGAAGCCTCCTCATTCTTTATAGAGATCTACTGGAATCTACGTTGTGATATGCGACAGCACTACTGCCTACTACTACTACTACTACTACTACTACTACTACTACTACTACTACTACTACTACTACTACTACTAGCACGTTCTTTCAGCAAGCAAATCGACAATTTCTAGGCATGAGAAACGGTGAAATTTGAAAAAATTTGGATTTCAAGGATCTGCGAGCGCCTGGCAATCGTGTCGTTATCATACGGGTATTTCTCTGTTTGTCTCAACAACGTAACCGTTCACCCGTGAGTAGACCTTCGTTCTCGCTGATCCTTGGCAGTGGAGGTTCAAGTGCCAATTAGTTGACGAGTCGGAAAGACTCGATTGTTGACTGAAAACGTCGGGAGAAGGTCATGCCCAGGACAAGAAAAGCAAGACTCAACTAATGAATTATCAAGCAAATCACTGAAACAATCTAAAGGTGCTTGTCGACAGCGACCTTCCCATCCTCGCGCGTCCGCACGAGAGCCATTTATTTTGGGCTCGGATCAAAGAAGCACGCTAACGGAGCAGCGGCGCGCGCGGTCGGCGGCGACCGTTAGGCGCGGCGGCAAAGGCAGCAAAGGCAGCGACGACAGAGGCGGCGCCGCGAGACGACTCGGACGTTTTACGAGCGCGTAAAAGGAGTTATTCGCAAAGTCGATAAGCTGCAGCCAAAGTGCAGGCTCGAAGAAACACTTAAGATAAAATGGATTTCGATCACGAGTAGGTAGAGCGCGCGCGTACTCGTAATGCCGGTCCGCTGCTGGCGCTTCGAGCCATTTCGCGTATCAGTGTTTTTCGAACGCGTCTCGTCGGCAGGTGAGCGGCCGAGCGGCCGAGCGGCCGAGCGGCACGACCGCGAAGATGGGAGGGCGCCGGTCCAAGGTGATTGAAATCGATAAATCAACGAGAGGGCTTGATCGATCGATCCAGTATCAGTCACACATCGTCATAATATATCAGAGATCAGAGAGTGAGTGATGTCATGTTACCGGGGAGCCCAGCGAAGGCTCAGCGGGGTAGTTCTCAGCAGTAGTAGTACTGAGCAGTACCTTTTCCATTTTGCTGAGGTGTAGGGCATACTTGTCGTGCGCGCGGAACTGCATGAAGCGCATGTTGCTCGACTGCGAGAGCTCGGTGATGCTCTTGATGCTGGGAAAGAACCTGCAAGCAAAGCGGACCGAGCGGTCAGTGCGCGACCCAGCGCCATTGAGCTTTGAGAGTCAGTCGGCCGCTCGGCGCGCGACCCCTCACTTGAACATCGTTTGCACGGCCACGATGGTGTTGCAGTCGGCGAGCGTGTCCTCCTCGGCCGAGTTGCTCAGCTCCTTGTTCACCACGACCACGTTCTCGGCGAGCGTGATGCCCGCGCGCAGCAGGTCGTCCATGTTGTCTATCGAGCCCATCATCCAGTAGATCAGCGGGAAGTACGAGACGGCGTCCAGGAAGGGGATCTCCGGGCGACGCTCCAGCAGCAGGATTATCGGGTTCAACGAGGTCTTGGATCTGTCCGCGAGCCGAAACACCGAGCTGTCATTGCACGGGCCGTTCGGACGACCTAGCACCACCACCTACCTGAAGTGGGCCCTCAGCGGGATGATGAAATTGTAGATGCCGTTGCTCGCGTAATCGGCCGCCAGGATGATCGTCTTGTTCTGCCAGTTGTACTCCTTGGCGTTTCTGTAGGTGCAGTGCTCGCAGACCTGAAACCAGTAGCGCAGCGAGGCGGTATACAGTCGAGCCGAGCCCCACCGACGTCCCGGCCGTGTACCTGCGCCAGCTGCAGGCAGCAGAGCGGCTTCTTCTCTTTGAGCAAGTAGCACAGCGTCGGCGAAACGCCGATGAACGGCGAGACCGGCGGGAATCCCTTGACGATCCTGCAACATCGTTTGCATACGTCACTGCATCTGCATGTCTTTGGCTTTCTCTTTGGCGGCTCGTCGACGCCCCCGAGCCGACCTCTTTTCGGTTTTCGCCCTGTCGTCTCGCGAACCGACGAACTACGCCTGCTCGCTCGAGAACCGAAGGAGAACGCGGTCGCTCGTGGTTATTCAACCAAATATCTAAAATGAGCTGGCGATAAAGCTGGCGATAAAGCTGGCGCTAAAGCTGGCGCTAAAGCTGGCGCTAAAGCTGGCTCTTATCTGCTTTCGGTTAATTGGACAATTTTGCAGAGCAGTCGCGCCACGGCTCGGGTTGCTGCCTGGCTCCAGCTCTCAGCCGCGTAAAAGTCTGCGCAGCATGAGCATCGTAGAGAGGCTTCGCAAGCACAAACGCTTTTGCGCGAGCGTCGGCTCGGGTGAGTAGCGCGAGCGTCCGAGCGTCCGAGCGTCCGAGCGTCCGAGCGTCCGAGCGTCCGACTCTGACGCTGCCGAACGATCGACAGTGAACTTGGGCGCGCTCTGCGTCGGCCTGGCGATGGCTTGGCCGAAGCCCTCGCTCGCCTACGCGCACGAGGCGGCGCACCCGCAGCTGCCGTTCGTCGACGAGGCCTGGGTCGAGTCGATAATCAACGCGGGCGCCAGTCTCGGCAGCCTCGCCTCCATTTTCATCAGCGGCTTTTACGGGCGGCGGACATCCTTCTGCTTATCGGGCGCCATCCTCGCCGCCTTCTGGCTGTTCCTTGGCTTCTCGGGCGGCGACAAAGTCGTGAGTCGTGCCCGCTCGCGCGATTCTTCGCCGACGAGCCATCAGTCAAAGGTGGCGCCTTATCAGTTGATTATTTCCGCAGCGGCAGTCGCGGGGCTCGGCGTCGGCACGTTCTCGGCAACCGCGGTACTTTACGTCGCCGAGATTTCCACCTTGAAGAGCCGCGGCGTCGTGGGAACGAGCGTCATGCTCTCCGGCTGCCTCGGCATCTTCGCCATCAATCTGCTCGGGCGTTTCTTCGACACGGGCATCGCCATCGGTCTGATGGCCGCTCCGCCTCTCTGTTTCCTGGCGAGCGTTCGCTTGCTCGTCATCGAGTCGCCGTTCTATCTGTTCCAGAAGGGCGCCGTACGTTCGAGCTGCGTAAAATGCGTAAGCTGGCCGTGGCCGCTGACTCTCGAATGAGAAGCACTATCGAGTCGCGCAGGTTCTCCAGGCCAAAACGTCGCTGACGCACCTGCGGGCCCGCCACAGCCTTCTGGAAGTCGACGAGGAGTTCCGCTCCATGGAAGCCATGTTCAACAGGAGCTTCTCCAAGGGCACGGGCCGCCGGCGACTGCTGGAGTCGCTGTGTCCCGGAAGCACGCGGCCCCTCGGCCTCGCTGCCGTGCCGGTGCTCTGCGTCAGCCAGATGCTCGGGCTGGTGGCGCTGACCGACTACGCGGAGCAGCTCGTCGAGTCCATCTGCCCGTACAGCAGAGGCCTGCTGACCTCCTTCGTCGACGTGGCGTCCAGCGTGCTCTGCGTCTTCGCCATCGAGCGGTTCGGTCGCAGGGCCCTGCTGTTCTTCACCGTCGTCGGCTGCGGCTTGTGCTGCCTCGCTCTCGCGCTCTACCACTTGACGCGAGGCGAGCAGTGCTACGCGCAAGAGGTCCATCCCCGATCCCCGACGCGGCCCCGCAGCGCCGTGCCGCGGCTCGTGATCGCTCGTCTCTCTCGTTTCTGTTGCAGCTCTTGGCCGCGGACCACCGAACGCTTCCGACGGTCGTGCTCTGCGTTTACTACGGGATTTACGCGCTGGGCCTGACGCCCGTCTTGCCGATCGTCACCGCCGAGATATTTCCGTGTCGGGCAAAGGCAGCGGCAGTGGGCATCTGTACCTCTCTTCTCTATTTCGTCGCCTTCTGCACGCGACGCTCTTACGAGGCTCTCAACCAGTACACCAGTTCGTGTTTCGCCTTTGCATGCTTCGCCATGTTGGGCTCGATTGCTCTACCCTTCGTCGTCGCCGCGTTGCCGGAGACCGCGCCAACGAGTTTGCTGCAGATGCAGACCGAGTTGGACAACGGCGTTGTCATCAACTATTGAATTACGATCTGTACTGACTCCATTATCTCGAGCAGACTCAATATATTGCCACGTCTAAGCTTATTTTTTCACGTGAACCTCCGAAGATGCGTTCCGTGAACCGTCAACGTGCTCTACTCCTTTCGTCGTTTGTCTACTTGGATTGTTCGTTTGGGCAGCTTATCGATCGTGCAATCTTGCAAATCGCTTCTACTTCGTTATCAAAGCGTACGGAAGCACAACTTGCGTGTCTACGTAAATACACACATATATATATATATATACATATTAAAGCTCAGAATTTTCAAGCAGAGATGAAGCAATTTTCGGCAGATTTCGCTAGTATAATCGCGACTTGGCATAAAGTCAATAGGAAAGAAGTAAAAATTGCGTGAAACTCACCCTTTGAAGCTGCGGGGGCCGAACACGGTTGGCGTCGCATCACGTGCGGCAAGAGGACGAGGAGTGCACAAAGATATAAGGAGGACATAAAAAACATCCATACGGGTTTGTTTTCTTGTAATTTCACTGAGATCGGAGCTCGGGGATGCCGAACAGGCATGGGACACGTTGAGTGCGATCGTATCACGTGACGTTTTATATCAACATATCAGTTTACTGGCAGAGTAGTCGCATTACGCGATGATAGGCAAATAAGTAAAAAAACGAATGATCGCTATTTGGTTGATTGGTGCTGTAATAAAAGCCGGCAATATGAAATTGTTGACTGCTTGAAGTACGGCGGTAGGTCAATGTTTGCGTGAAAACTAATTGAATGAAATAATTTCTTCGGATATTTAGTTCACCGGCTGAATTGATCTGCAAGGAGGGTGGCTTGGTACGTGAGCGTTATATCCGAAAGAGCTCGTAAGATTTCGGACTGTAAAGGTAAGAACGAGGAGTGGCAAGTTGGCAAATATAAAGACTCGCAAGAGTGATATCGAAAGCGTGTGTCGCGCGTGCGTGTGTCGATCCGTCATTCGAGCAGTGCGCGACCAGAGGTGCATGGCAAGCGAGTGCACGTCGCATAGGCCAACTAATCGCGATGGTCGTCGTGCCACGGGAAGCCTCGCACTGCGCCGCTCGCTTCGAGTCTGCCCCCTTGATTATTCATCGCGAGCGCGCGGCGATAGAGCGGGGAGCTCCGAGGCTTCCAAGCCAACGCGGCGTCGATTCTTTCGCGTTCTAAAGCAAAGAAGAGGAAAGAAGCCGGAGCGAGTAGGCGCGCAGGCGAGCGGCCGCCTGGAAGCTCGATGAACGTTGCAGGCGTGCGCGAGAAGAGCAAAAACGACTGTCTAGCAGCCCGAGGCGGCAGCTGATCGCACCACGAGCAAATCACTCGGTGAACTTACGCTATCTTCTCGCTGGGCGATCGCCAAGGCACGTCGTCCTCCATCTCGTCTTCGGACTCGTCGGCCTCGTGGTCCAGCGACTCCTGGCCCGGCAGCTGCAGCGTCGAGCTCGTCAGCATGTCCGGCACCGGCAGGATGCTAGGTCTTCGGCTCCCTACGGCAGAGCGACAGTTGAGACGTCCGTGAGCAGCGGCTATTTATGCTCCCCCGTCAATCGGCCAGCAAGCGCAACGTTTGAAAAAGCCGACGGCGAGTCGGGTCATCGGGTTGTTGGCAGATTGTTTCGGAGAAGACTCCGCGGTGGCGTCGCCTCGCGAGCGGCCGGCGGGCAGCCGCTCGTGAAACCCGAACCGGCCCGGGCACGCTCGCGCGCGGCGACGTCGGAGTGGCAGGCGCTAATGCCACAATAAGCTTGATAAAGCTAAGCTCAGGCCTGGCCGCATCCGGCAAATGCCAAATGGATTACCTCTCCTCTGAGTGAGAATTTCGGGACTGAGAAGATTAGGATTTGGCTCGAGCGAGCGTGGCACATCGAGGTGATTTCCGGTCATCGGCGTTTGCGGCGACAAACTTCCGTCCTTTAAACACTGCCGCGAGTCGCCTAATCCTCCCGGGTCCAGATAAGTTGCTACAGTGTAAACACACGACATTGCGTTAGTTTTGCGCACTCTCTTCGCTTGCTTTTCGAGCGCTCGCACTGGCTATCTCCCACTTTCTATTTCAACTTCTTTGTTAAACGTCGCAGCTACGAGCCAAGTATCAATCTATCCTCGCGATTGCCGTGCTGACAATTCATATATTGTATGTATTGCTAAGCCGACCAGATCAAAAGTGGCGAACGTTTCTGATGGACCAGACAGAATCAAGTTCTATACGTTAACGTCTGTGCATTCTCAAGTGGCATCCGAAAACAGCCTGAAAATCGCTCCAAAGTAGCTGTTCGATCGGCAAAACAGCCTCATTGAAATAATAAGTAGAAGAGAGCTCCAACAATGAACCTATCGATTCATTAGTTGTAGCTCGGGACGAAACGGTTCGTCGACTGTGCCATTTTCCAAAATCAATGCGCCTCGATGCATCGCTCTCTGATGCACTCTACTTACATTGCACGCTAGATCATTCATGAGGAATTGAAAAAACAAATCAAGATTGTCAATGTCATCAACTAATGTACTAACGTGCTCTTGTGCGCTCGCATTCCAGTAACAGTATTTACAGAAAATAGGAAAATAATTAGAGTATATGCGTCTACAGGGTAATCCTTTTAAAAAAATTCATAAAATACATCTGTTCAGTTACTACGATATGTCAAGTGAACTGGTATAGTTCTCGAAGGGGAGCTATCGCACTACGCTGTACCGTCGCACGTATTGACGGCCGAGGGCCAGTTTGGTAAGACGCAATGACGACTGGAGATCCGGCTCCAGCTATTTCACATGCGCAATAGTGATCTACTTGCTATTGTCGACGCATCGATCTAAATTCAAATAATACGACGTGTGAACCGGAGAACGAACTTGATGCATACGAGCAGTTATGAAAGCTGCCGAGAACCGCGACTAGCGGAGTTAAGACTGCACTGACTTTGGCCAAATACTCGATTGCAATAGCGTCACTCCTTTTAGAGAGAGAAGCGCCGCGTGGAATGAATAAAAATCTCGACAACGGAGAGAATGTAACCGGGGAAAGCGACGTAGGCAGCTGCAGCAGCATCAGCGACCTAGAAATTAGACGGTGCGCGAGGTTGACGGCGGCTCCGTGCACACCTCGCCGCCCGATGTTCATTCGCACGACCGTCAGTCATTTTAGTAGATTGCCCTCTGCCCCACGTTGCTGCTCTCGGTCGCTCTCGGTCGCTTTCGGTCGCTTTCGGGTGCTTTTCATCGCTCGCGACTATGGAAATCTGACGGGCCACTGCACCTCGTTGCGTACACGAGCGCGATGCCAATGAGCTTGCGTGCTGTCCACGAAAGCGCGGTCGAGTGGCGCGTCTGGCGTTTGCGCGGCGGCGATCGCTGCTCCAAGGGATGCCACAACGCGAGAAGCACCGGTGCAGACAGAGGGACAAAGGGAGATAGGCAAGCGAGCAAGCGGTTGCGAGGACAGCATACGATGGAAACCAAGTAAAAATAGAAGAGACAGCGAGTAGACGAAGACGGAGGGAGAGAGGGAGAGAGGAGGTAGTGGAGCGCCCCTAGACAACTAAAAGCGTGGCCTACGCAGAAGAGGAGGAGGAGAAGAAGAAGAAGAAGAAGAAGAAGACGGGCAAGAGACGAGAGATGGCGTTGCGCATGCGACACTCACGCTGGGCATCGGATGCGAGTAGCAGGTTGTGGCGTTGGAGTAGTGTGGAAGTGCTAGGGAGGAGCTGCAAGACAACTTGAGGGGGTGTGGGTTGCAAGCGAGCAACCGCTGCGGAGCTCGCGGGTGTACCCGGTCTCGAGTTCGGCTCGTCCTCGCTCGGGCCGCCGTCGCGCCCAAGCTCGTCGTCCGTCGGCGTGCTAACGCTTAGAGTGACCGCCGCGGCCGCGCCACCGGCGCTCGCCGTACCGTTGCCGCCGCCCGCGCCGACGCCCGGCTGCAGGCCGCCGCTGCACGCGGTCGTGGCGGTCGTGGCGGTCGCGGCGGTCGCCAGGCTGGCCGCCGTCGCCAGCGTGCTCGTGGTTCCCGGCGTGGTCGGCGCGCCGGGCGCCGCCGGCTTGCCCCCCTCGGCCACCAGCACCTGGCTCGGCTCCGCCCCCGCGGCCTGGCTGTTGGCCACCACGAACGCCGAGTTCTCCTCCTTGGTGATGCTCATGTAGTAGCACGTGTCCGTCTTCTTCATGATGTGCCGCGGACCTGGAAGCGCGCGCAGGCGTGAGACGCTCGGCGCAGGCCGGCTGACCGGCGCGGCCCTACCTACCTGGATTGAGCAGTATCGTGTCCTCGTAGAACTCGGGCAGCTCGGCGGGCCTCACGGCCACCAAGGCCACCCCGTACTTGCGGTGGCTGTGGAACGAGGCGTAGGTGAACGACTTGCCCTCGTACTCGCCGAAGAAGCGCGAGTCGCCGAGGGTTATGTGATAGATCTCGTTGCCCGAGCACTTGCCGTAGAGCCGGTGCCACTCCTCCTGCGACTGCTGGCCCTCCCTGCGAGCGACGCGCGTCGGTTAGCTCGGTCGGGCCGGTCGGGCGGCGCTACTCACTGTCCCCGAGAGGTGTGCAGCAGCAGCGTGACCAGGGTGGAGGCGCCGGGGCACGTGCAGTTGTTCGCCAGGAGGGCGTACTTGAACTCGTCCTCGCAGACCACGTGCTCGGCAAATTTCACGTGCAGCTTGTTCTCCGGGCGGAAGATCTGCACGTACTGCGGCACGTTCGGCGCGAAGTCCTTGACGGCCCAGGACCTGTCGCGGGCAGACGAGCGCAGCAGCGTTGAGGCCGGGCCTGCCGACGGCTCGGCTCGCGCCAGCGACGGGGCTTACCTCAGGATAGTGTGCTCGTCGGCGGCAGTCTTGTCGGCGTAGTTGCGCGCGGCCAGCACGAAGCAGGCCTCGGCCTCGTTCATGCGCGCTCGCGCCAGGTCGCCGTCCTTCAGGCACGAGCCCTGGATGTAGATCACCCGCTGCGCCCATATCGGCACCTGCAGGATCATGCGCATCGTCGTGTCCAGCTCCATCGGCGACAGCAGCACCACGTAGTAGTCCTGTCAAGGGAATTGCGGTGGGCATGGCCGTCGGGTCGGCTTCCGTTCGCGGCCCGATCGGCGCGCCGTCCGACCGAGCGGCGAGCGAAGCCTCTCGTTCGGCTCACCTGTAGCAGCGGATGCGCGTAGAATTCGTTCAGGAAATCCATAATGGTATCGGCTTGCAGGGTCGTGCTGCAGACCACGACGTGCTTCTCGCTCTGCGCCCGGTGAGACGAGTAGGAGCCGCCGAGCTTTTGCCTTTCCATCCACGTGAACGCGAGCTGCTCGAACTAGGCAAACGACATGCATATCATTTGGATTTTGTACCGGCAGAGCACCGCCGCGCAGCCGTTGCCTACGCGGCTATCGATTTTTATTCGCCTCTACGCCTCCTTTCCTCTTCGCGGCTTTTCCATCATCGCGCTTATTTACATTCTCCCAGCCTCTCCTCGCATAATTATCCGTTCGGCTCGTTTGCCGTGTTTCCGATTGAACCTAGCCAATGCCGCCGTCAATCTCTCTCAGTTGCCATCAATTCGCTTCTCAAAGACTTTACTCGTCGAAAATCATAAAAATATCGGCTCTTGGATGGACTTTCAGATTGAGAGCAACTTTGACAGGGAAGCTCGAAAGCAGGCGAAGAGCGACAAATATTAATCGTTCGAGCTTAAGCTCAATATGCATGGATACGCGAGCCCACAAAAAGGCTAAAGCAATGAAGAGTACGCTGGGGAAAAAAAGGAAAGGAAAAAAGAAAAAAAACTAGGAAACAATGACGATAAAAGATCAGGCATATCACACGCTCACAGACAATGGCCAATTGGGTTATATTTTGCATTTTGTAGTCATTATATCTATATATCTAGCAATCCAGTACACCGAACGTCGAAAGAGGATCAAATTTTTTAAATCTCATCGTTGGCTTTTCTTTGCGTTCCTTTTTGTAGTTCGCTTTCATTACTCGTTTTAATATGCTAAAACGTTAAAGAACCTCATCGTCTCACTGTATTCGCATTATTCCACTTGATAGCACACTTTTCCAGGGACCAATAAAAGCATGGCGGGACTTTGTAGTCTTATTAAGTTCATCAATAAGTCGACCGTTGAGGAATGCTTGAAACAATATGAAATAGGCACGCGAGAAAACTGAAAATTGCTCTGAAAAGAAGAGCCGAAAGAATATTCCGATATTTTCATTAAAATAGTTAATTTAGGCGGGGGGTTAAAAGCATGAAAAAGCTCAAATAAATAGGAGGAGCAAAGAGGCTGTACGCGGGGAAAGTGCTGTCAACATGCGAGGCGTTCAGATAGGTTGCAGTTGACAGGCTAGTAGCTGTCGCAGTAGCGAGGCGGTGGCGTCGGTGGCGAGAGTGAGAGAGCTGCCAGCCATCCGTCAAGCGGCAAGGCAGTCAGCCAGGCAACAAGTGTCGCGCGCGCGCGAGAGAGAGAGAGAGAGAGAGCTCACTGATTTTCAGTGGCCCGATGTAGCGCGCGAAATCCGATTAATTATGTCGGAGATTGAATTTGGCAGCAAGTCACGCCCCATCCTCTCGTACACTCGCACCACACCACCACACGCACACGCGCGCACACACGCCCCAGCCCTGCATAATTCCGCTTGCTTCTCTGCGCGCTGCCGCTTCATCAATTTCGATTATCTAGCTTTATTGCCGACTATGAACGCCTAATTCGAAGAGCACGGTTCGCGACGCGTAGTTGCGTCTGTTAGCGACGATAGACAACGGACTTGGAAAAAGTGAAGTTCACGATAGCGAGACAAGCTGGCAATGCAGTTGGCTCGAAACGACTCTTTGCGAGCTCATAAAAAATCTATAAAAGCCGCTGGACAGCGCCGAGCAGGCGCCGTCATCTCGGTTTCAGTGCTCGCACACGCACGGCGCACACGCTCGGCAAGCGCTCGACAATCAGTGCCGGCCGAATTGGTGCGCTCGGTGCAACGCGAATTAACGAGCCCGTAAAAGAGCTCGGCAATAATTGAAAATGACGGGAGCGCGAGCCGGCGATGAAACGCTTCTCGTTTCACCGACGGCCGATCGTTACGCGCTCTCTCGCGACACGGAGGCTGGCGTCGCCAAAGTCCGCGGAGAGAATCGAAAGGAGGCAGCTTGGCTCGGCACTCACCTGCGTCGGTAAGACTATGAGGGCGACGCATATCATGATGACCATGTAGAGTTGGGAGGGCCAGATGTCGGGCACAAAGTCGCCGTAGCCCACGGTCGAGAAGGTCACCACCACGTAGTACGTGCTCTGGAAGAGGTTGAGGTGTCGGTGGCCGGCTCGCTGGAAGTGCTGGATCCCGCAGACGCTGCAACACACGTCCGAGCCAATTGGCAACAATCGGCGAGTTCCCTTTGAAAATATGGCCATCGGGCGAGTCGTGGGCCGCCGTTAGCGGCGCAGCCTTGAACGTCTTGCCGACCGATCGAACGGTCGCCAAGCTGGGACGTCCATTCATTATGCATACAGACTTGCGCGGCGTGCATGCATCGTTAAAATTTGTGTTTGACGATGAGCACTGCAGAGCCCCGCCACTTTCGTGATTGCCATTTCGGCGAATCTTTGTCACTGGTGCTCGACCGCATCAACACTCGGGGCTTGCATAATTACGGGAATACACGGACTCTGCGTTCTTCGAGTGCACTTGGGAGCTTTATTCAAATCGCATTGACTTGTACTGCCGAGAGAAGGTAACGTGGCCGTCGCGCCTCGTTTACCGAAGAGCAAACCCACCAGCGCCACGCTCGCAATCCGTTTCTCGGCCTGTAAATCAAGCGATCGTTTAATCGACCGTCCTCCCCGGCAAAGCCTCCATTTGTTATGTTCCACGAGTACACGCTATTTCGCTCGATTGACTCGTCTTTAGCTGCACCAAGCGCAACGCCGTAACTTCGGTCTCTTCGTTTTTCCCTTTTATTTTTAGCGTTTGTCTGGATAAGGATAATACCTCGGATCCGCATATTGCTTCGCGATGTTTTCGACAATGTCTTGCCGGTTTACGATGCTTCGCGCGGGAGCCATTCCGCAACGTTCTCTTTTGCGCGCAAATAGATCGTTCATCGAGATCGCTGGGTGAATTTGGTTTGGTGGTTGGTTGGGAGCAGCCCGGAAGTAGCGTAGCAGAAAGTCTGGTTGGGGGCATTTCGAAGAAAGGCTTTGGACAAATGAGCGCGGCAACAGTTGTCGATAGCAATGACTAACGGCAGTGCAATAAGCAGTCGACGTTAAAAGCTCGCTATGGACAGCGCAATAAATCCAAGTTACGACGGTTAAAAGCAGCGACAGAGCATGTAGAATCCAGGAGTCCTCATTGCGTCGCATATTACTTTCCGTATGTCAAGGACGCATTTATTACGAGCCGCTTGCCGGCGCGACGTACGGCACCCAGCTCAAGCCGCTAAATAATAAATCGCTCGGATCGATTCGACGCGCGCACGCAGTACACGTGTATTTGCGTGTACACCTCGTATCGACTGACTGCAAGTTCGCCCTCGTAAAAACTGCCTCTCTAACTACTAGCTATCCTACTTGTTGCCTTACTTGCTCGCCAACTGATTCGCTAGCTCGTACTCGCTATACTTATACATTCGAGCGCGCGTGCTTTCGTTCTACTCCTCATTGTTCCTCGTGCTGCTTCGATCGATCGTCAAATACAATGTTGCCGATGCCAATAGCAGGGGCACATTATGCCCATTGAACAGTCCAAGTAGAACAAGTGCGTTTTGGTCAGACGTCGAAATCCAAAAAAGCAAGTTATAGCGAACGGTCTGGTAATGGCGGCCGACAGCTTGATTTCCTCAGTGACTAAACTCCTACGTAATTGAGTCAAGCCCTCGCGGGGCAGAGGGAGATGCGCGAGTATTTCATTTGGAGATCGGGTGTCCAGTCGTTGCAAGTTCAGCCGACTTGGCGGCGGCGGCGGCGGCGGCGGCGGCGGCGGCGGCGGCGGCGGCGGCGGCGGCAACTAGCCCAGCACTTTGTACCGGGGGAGCTTGCCGCCTTGCTTGCTCGTTTCAAGTTTCCGTCGCGAATACAGCGAGTCGAGTCGACGGAGCCCCGCCAGATATCAAACGCCCAAGCAGTGAGGTCTTACCTGCTTGCCACCCTTCTGCTATATGCAGCCTCCAACTTTCGTCGACGCCTGTAGCACCCTAAAGTCATCCTTGCATTTTCTCCGGGCGCAAGGAAGATTAGACTAACAGTTTTCTAATGACATGACGTACCGCCGAGCTCGCGTTATGAAGTCGAGTCAAACGAGCTTTTAAGCTTGGAACGCGGCCAAGGAGACGCTGCACGTACGGCGTATCGCGCGATTCATCTCGAGCTATCGTTTAGTTGGCCATCAAGAGATCAAAGACTTAATATCGGGCTCTGAGACGCCCCCCACCCCCGGTAGTGGCAACAATGAGCGGAAAAGCGAAAATGCACAGGAGTAGGGACGGAGCACAAGCAGAGCTTGAAAGATGATAAGGTCGCCGAGAAGAGTTGCACTTGGCGCGGCTTCGGCTTCGGCCTCGGCGTCGGCGTCGGCGTCGCATTCATTCGGTGGCGGCGCGAAACGCGTGGCATTTACATCGGCATGCAGATGCAATAGCTGCGTTAAAATATGCGCCTCCTCTGTCTGCTCTCGTTCGCTCGCTTTTCCACTTCCGCGCCACGGCTGGCGCGGCTCACGTATTGCGCGCACAGGAAATGACTCGCAAATGAAATCGTGCCTTTTGAGCCGGGCGAACTAGTCTCGCGCGTCCTCTTTTCCAATCAACCGCTCGTTTTTTATCCCTTCCCCCTCGAGCTCCCGCGTGCACGCCTCTTGTTCGCGCGTTTTGGGATCGCTTTCAATAGTCCGCCAGTCCGCGAGAAGGGCTCTGCTGACCCATCGACGTTTCGAGGATTTACTTTGAAAGCTCACAAAATAGTCAGACGTGTGTCCCTTTGCGAGTTTTTAATCAAATCATATTTATCGCTCTTTTGCGCTCAACTTGACCGCTCGGCATTTCGAGGCTCGCTGCTGTGCTCATCAACTTATTATCGCGAACAGCATGATCGCTGTTGTAGCAGACCATTTACGAATGATCTCGAACAGCTGGAGATATGATTCCAATATAGGCTGTCGAAAACCGGGGCAAAGCCTTAGTGGCTAGAAAGTTCCGAGAAAATAATTCGATTATCGGAGGCAGCGACTATTCGAGTTGAAATGCCGTGGCGAAGTTGTAGCAAGAGAAAGACGTCATTTGTCAAGATCGGGGGATGGAGGAGGGGGGGGGGGGCGATCGTCGTCATCAAGGAAATCGATTCGTCCAGTGGAATGTGCTGCCGTAGAGGAAAATAGCAATGCTTGCTATTTTTCCATGCAACGACTATTTTCGCCTAAAGCGCATCGTTGTTGGTACAAAAACTGAGTGGGCTTGATTCGACGGAATTAAAAGAGGCATAGAACATCGGCATTCGCATCCAAGTCAGGCGCATAGCCAAGCAGATTGAAAAATAGCACCGTCATTTGCCGCTGGCTTTTTATAAAGTGGCCGTGCTTTCATATCTAATGCAGTCTTCTTTGAGCGTTGTTATTATGGAACCGACGGAAATAACCCGCGAAGGCTAAAATAAAAGCGTTCAATCAAGGAGCGCTATATCGTGCCGAGCTTTTACAACGTGCAGCAAATTTGAACGATTCACGGTCGCATAATTACTCTGGAAAGTTGTCGATCGAAGCTGCCCGGTCGGCCGGACTGTACAATGCAAATTGAGTTTGGCATGGCAAAGACAAGGCACACATGGCCGTCGACGGTCAGCTCGAACGTACGTATTTGAACAATCCGGGCTGAGCCGTCGGCTGAATTGCGCAAAATGCCAACTTGTCTTGTTTGTCTAAGCTTATCAAAGCCCTGGCGCAGCTCACGCGTTCGACTGGTTGGTGCTCGAGCGAAGCGACGAAGACTAGGCGAACGTTCGCAGCCACGAGCGCGAGCAACTTGGAGGCATAAAGCTCGTCAACTTGGAGGTATACTCTTGCCGCGAAATATACTCGCAAATTAAGGTAATTGGTAATTGCATTAGGGAGCAAGTTGAAAACGCTTTGTTAGGCGAGAAGCTCCTCGAAGGCGGTTAATTGCATTGGTCGCGCGCGCAAGCTCAAGCGGTTTGCCGTCAGAGCATTCGCCGGTTTTGTCATCCCGTCAGACTTTAATTGGCTCGCCGTAGCGCAACAGCATCGAATCAACTGACCTTGTGAAGACGAGGCAGAGCAGAGTGGCGCTGAGTATCATGAGCTGCTGACTCAAGGCCGACTGGGACTTTTGCATTGCCCGGTGAAGATCGTTCTGCAACGGAGAACGGCAGGTGAGACGCTCGCAGGAAGAGAGCGGCCCGAGTGCAGTCGAGCTTACTTACGAACATATTCTCGAGGGAGTGCTTGGCCAGCCAGCAGTTCAGGAACACCGGTATGAAGAGGTTCCTCATGGGCGGGTACAGCAGCTGAAAAATGGCCAGTTGAGTCGCGTCGGAGGCGCCGCGACAAAGGTGCAAACAATGGAGCCGACGAGGCGACGAGGCGACGAGCCGCTCGCCAAGCGAGAGGAAATCGGAGAAAAAGCGGCTAATGCGCGCGGCCGGCCCGTCAGCGGGTAAACGACGCGTGGCTAATGCGCCTGCGGCTGGATGTCGACGGCGTAAACATCCGCGTGGCCGCGTGGATGCGCACCAATTGGCGTTCAGTACTGGTTTGGCGCGCCCAGCGGCGTTGTCTCTGATTTTCGGCGCCCTTTGACGGTAACCTGTCAAAGGGCGCTCGAGCAAATAACCTCGGTAATTGCGCGAGCACTGCCATGCCAATAGCCGATGCGCATTGAGAGCGCACTGCTAACAATACTCATCGACGACGATAAGCTTTGCCGTTGACGTATGCGATGACTCCAAAGTCGCGCGGATTCGGCTGAGAAGCAGGACGACGACGGCATGGGTCTCGGTAATTTTTGTGCTTTTGCCGTGATTTTTGTCGTAATTTTTGGGCGCGCTCGATCGCCGAATCGCCGAATCGCCGAATCGCTGAATCACGACACACGCGAGCGCCTAACATTATTAACGATCGCGTGGTTAGGCACGCGTGCACCTGCGACCCGCAGAGTTATACGCGCGGATGCACACTCACCGTAATGGTGTATGGTATCGTGTTGACCAATTCCAGAATGAAGTGGAAGGACAGCAGCTGCTGCCAGATGTTGCCCTGCGGACAATGCAACAACAATTTAGTGGCACAATAATAATAATAATAATTGAGCTAGACGCGAGGCAGTTCTTTTGGTCCTTTTATGCAGTGCCATCGATATCTGCTTGCCGTTTCCATCGATACCGATGTTGTCGAGGGAATTGTCGCATCGCTGTTTGGAGAGTCGGAAAAGTTTTGGAAAAGAAACGCCGGTAGATCTGATAGTAGATAAACGTTGACGAGCAGGGCCACGCAGGGCAAATCCAATGGAGCTATCCCGTGACGACTGGCTTGCATGCGCAAGAAGAGAAAAATAACCGGGAAATATGGAGTCGACGAGCTTCTGCGAGGACCACTTTATTTATCACGGACGCTACTCGGGGTAACGCCTCGTAGTTGAATCATTTACGAGCATTCCAGGTGAAATGGGCAGGTTTAAGCTGAAAATTAGCTGTCGGTGGATCGATAAAATTTCCCGGTGATGCCCGCGCACCGAGTGAGTAATAGTCTTTCCCTTTAGCCTGACTTGTATCACAGAGCAGTGGCCTGCTTTGACGACGCGCACACTCGGCTTTTTAATTATGCGCATTAATTTGGTTTCTGCATCGAGTGCGCGAGTAAAGAGGAGCAAAGAGGCCGAAATTTTTGAGACCTAGATTGCTAGGAGGGCGCGAGCGAAGTTGAGACGGGCGCTGGTAATTAAACGTCCTACGTACAGGGCGGCGCTGCTCATTTTTGCGGCAGTAAATGGGAAAAAACGAGCGAGGCCACGGCCCGACGACAGCTTCGTTCATTTTCGATTTGGTTCTTTTGCGTTCTACTTGCAGCAGCCAGCTCGTCAGATCGATTTTAATGGAGGCTCGAGCAAGGAGCTTGCCGCTGACTTCTCGGTGACACTTGAAAAGTGTGAAAAATTGCAGGCTCGGAGAGTCTCTGCGGTGGGCTCGATTGTTTTGCCAGGAGATCACAGTGGCGTATGTCGGTCGAGAGGAGCAGCCGAGCAGCTGCGTTGGGCTGCTTCCGGTGCGTAAAATACGCGTGCTCTTGCTTTGAGGCGGGGAGTGGGGGAGTGGGGGAGTGGGTTACGTTAACGGAGCGGAGAAGATTTGGTCTCCTTGTGCACCTCGAGATCATTCGACACGGCTTGGTGCGCGCAAAGCCCCGCGGCGTCTCAGCCGGGTCCCGGGTTCGGCTTGGCTTTTTCTTGCCGAATTAGAATTCAAGCTGCCAAGACCGATTCGCCGCTGATTACTTCATAAGGCCATGGCGGAGCGTCGTTATAGCTCTGATTTCACGGCTCGATTGCGCTCGCCCCACTAACCACGGCTTATCTGACTTTTAACTTTTCAATTACTATGGATTTCGGGCGCAAAGCCGCCTTCCATTCAGCCGGTTACGCCGCTGCCGTTCGAGTCTATATACGCTCGCTCTCGCGCGCGCTCCACCAAATATTTCAAGAACTGCAGTCTGAAATAGACGGCCAGTTGCAAAACTTTCCACGGATACATGAAATAATGCACGAAAATAGTTGGAAATCGTTGCTAGTCGAGGTCCCTTACCTATTCAACAGCCCAGCCAGACTTTGCACTTTAAATATTTCTACATCTCGAGCATTTTACCCCACGGTTATTACATTGTCCTAACTTTCACTCTCGCTTGCCAGCAATCCTCTTCCACAGACCGTCGAACAGAGCTTTAAAGATGCTTCGCACGAGCCGTTGAAAAATATTTCCGAGGCATTCCGTTATTCTGCTAATCTCGTGAAATCGACGAGAGAAGGCGCCATCAGCCAGATATAGCTTTATTGTGCATTTCTACGTCTAAGCTAAGTCTCTTCAGTGAGAGTTTATGGCTGAAGCTCGAGGAGTTTCAGTAGCGAAGAGCGACTAGCGCCGCACTCATTTACCGTGCCGCCGACAAGCTTGAGTTTGTGCTCACAGCTTTATGGAATGCTCAGGGCTTTCGTCGCCGACAATTTTCATTTAGCGACCGAACGATCATCGCCCCTCCAATGACAAATATCACGTCACGAATATTGGGACATTTTGAAGAAACCTACGAAAGCCTCGAAGCTCAAGTTGCACGGAAGTTTTGCGCATGGCAGGACAAGCGTAAGCCGAACTCCGCTGAGCTCGAGAGGCTGAGGAACAAAGTAGACGCGGCGCTCGCTTGCCTAATCCTCCACTCGGAATTTTCACGAGCTGTTTGATTTTAGCATTTTAGACGAAAGCCATTTGAAAGCGACCAAGAGAATATGCAATACAGCCGGCGGCGGTTCGCTCCAACATGCAAAGGTGCTTGTTGACTTTGACTGGCCCGTGTAAACGAGCTCGAGGCCAGGATACTAACCAAGTGACCGAAAACAACCGAAGAAGCTTGTGCGATTTACGCGATTCGTGTAATACCTATTTTTTGGCTGATGGCGTCAGTCAGATCGATGACAATCCAAATCTCTCGATCGGCAATCGGTGCGGAATTAGTGCTTGGCCTATAACGGGATCGGATCTCGAAAAGCGCGAGCGAGCTTTGTCGAGGAAATGGCTTTGAGCGCCTCGTTACGTCTACGCTGCTTCGACGATATGATCGCTTGTTTACCGAGAGCCTGCCGTGCCACCGGTAAAAAGCCAAACATACAAGAGGAAGAGGAGCAGAAGGCACGTCGGCCATGGAACGTAACGGAATTGACAAAGCACACCCGCAGAAGAGCAGCCAAGCCTTTTCATTAATGAGATCTGCCGGCGGAGATGTATAGGTCTAGCTGACTGCAGCTGGCGGCCGCCTGCAGACTGGAGACTGGTGAGTCGGAGGAGGGAGGAGGAGGGGGGAGGAGGGGGGGGGGGCGACGCTTATCGAGTTGACTTGGTGAAAAAATTGATTTGTCTCGAAGCGGAATTCCGCCACTGGCGCTCGACGGCGCTTTGCCCTCGAGCAGCTAGAAACAAACGAAAAGTGTTTCTCCGCTGCCGTCACTCCTCGCGCTCGCTGCTCTGCCGTCTCGAGAAGAGCAAATAAAGAGGTAATTCGATTCGACGCTCTCGCGTCAACGACGAAACAAATCGAAGCGGAAGCAGCCCAGAGCCGCGCTCCACTTGGCCGGCGCTTTTTCTTTCAGGCGCTCGCTCGCAACAATTTCTTAGCGAGAGAATAGACTGATTTGTGTTGTCGGTGAGGAGGCCCGATTGCTCGAGAAGCCCTGTCGCGCCCGGTCGACCGATCAGCAGGCTCGGATCGGCTGTTCGGTCGATAATCAGTCCCGGTCCGAGCTTTGAGCCAACTTCAAAATGAATAAAGTGCGCGGACGAGCCGAGTTGTCGCTTCGATGATTCACTTGGGAGGGAAAAGTTGACTGGCTGGAGCGCGATAAAAATTTCCTGCAACTTGTCGCAAAAGGCAAAAGCAGCGCAGAGGCTATGCAAAGGCCACTTTTAGCCGGCTGCCGCCGCTGCCGCCGCTGCCGCCGCTGCAAGTTTATGAAATGACGGGGGCTATTACATGGCGCGCGTCCGCGTCCGCGTCCGCGCCGCGCCAGAGAGAAAGCAAACTTTTGCAACGACCTGCGATGAAAGACGCGCGAATACAAATGACGCATACATCTGTACACGCCTATACAGCCACACACAAAGAAAAGAAGCGAAGGAGTCGAGGAATGGAACTCTTAAAGTTTTATTTACGAGTGGCGCTCTCCAGAGCTTGCAACGCTAAGAAATTCGCATTGTGTCGAGTGTTTATGGCTTTATCTCGGTGGAATCTTCGCTCGGAAAAGCCACCAATTCATTTAACTTTAATTTCTCATTTCACGGCTTGACTCGCCTCACTCTCCAGGCTGTCGGATTGTATAAGTAATTCTGTCATGATTTTTACGAGCAGCCCGCATCCCTTTTTCCTTCGCCGAGCACACTTACGGATGATCGCGGAAAGGACTGCAATGCTCGCGCGATCGACGAAAATGAGAATTTTCCCGGGCTTCCGGGCGACCGAATGCGAAAACGCGAAAATGCGAAAACGCGAAAACAGTCCAATAGTGGAAGCTTTGATCGCTTATGGATATCGTCGGCGAGGATAGTTTGACGCCCGACAGCCGGGATAATGGAGGCGCTCTTTAAACACGGCAAGCCCGCGAGGAGTCGTCGCGCAGGCTGAGGCGTGAAATCTGAAAAGATGCTCGTGACGATAAAGCGAGAAGCGAGCCAGCAGGTGAAAACACGAAAGCTCGTAAAACCGTTGCGAGAAAGGCTGAGGCCAAGGAGAGATCTCTGGTTGTGGCCGTTATCAGCGCCAAGACGACGGCTACAGGATCGGCTCGAAGGCCTCGAGGGAGCTGCCGAGCATTTACCTACGTGTAATTCGCCGCAACGGCTCTACGACGAATATTCGCCGAGCTTTTCAGATCTGGCAAGTATCCGATTCGGGATGGCCGTTGCCGTCGTTGCCGTCGTTGCCGTCGTTGCCGCGCGCACCCAGCCAAATGAAAATTTTTATCGGCGATTATTTGGAGTGCGCCATCGCTTGTAAACACATTCGAGCTAGGGCTGTCTAGCGGCGGCAGCTTGCAAATATTTATCCGACAACCGGAGAGCGGGCATGCCGCCGTAGCGGCGCTGTAAAACAAGCAAGAAGCATTCCGCTGAATGGGCGCTCCCTGCCTTCCTCTTACGCGCACGGCGCTCCGCCGATCGATTCGCCGAGCCGGAGATATCGACGGCACACGTGGACCAGTGGACCAGCGGACCTGTAGAGCAATACCTTGTATCCGAGGTAGGCGAGGAGCAGCGCCTCGGTCAGCGAGACCATGGCCAGCACCACTTGAATGATCCAGAGCTCGAAGGGCCTGTGCACCCACAGTATGGCGTCCCAATTGATGGTCGGGTGCTCCTGGAACTCCTCCTCGGTGAGGTTCTGCGAGAGCAGGTATTCGCTCTTGTTGCCGGGCGTACAGCCGTAACTGCAAAATTCGAGCCCCAAGCTTATCTCGCGGCAACAGCTTTATCGCCGGAGAGGAGACGCGCTGCCGCGTAATAGTCTCGGCCACGCGTCTGTATCAAACGCATTTTCGCATTTTCGCATTTCCGCATTTCCGCATTTCCGCACTTCCGCCCAGATTGCGTTTTCCTTGTCGCGCGCGTCGCTGCTTTTTTCCTGTTCTCCTCTCTCTGCCCCCGAACACGGAGTGCAAGGCGTGGATTGTTTACAGTGCCGCGCTTTATTTCGCTTCCAACTAGTCCGCCCCTTTCTGCGTCTCTACAGATTCCGATAGTTGCGCAAAACCGAATTTCACTCGCAGCGAGACGAGAGGCGTCGACGTCTGCGAAACTCGACTGGAGGTGCTCCGGTGGAGCAGGTAACAATTAATTAACTGGAAAACGGCGCGAAACAAGCAGTGCTCCGTGAAAACGGTCCGGAGGAAGCTATCGTTGGCGCTGCTGGCGTCCCCCGGCAGCAATAATATGTCCTCCGGTATTATGGCTGGCTCGCTCGCTCGCTCGCAAATCGATAATCGGTCAAGTCCACGCGATGTCTTACCAGGCGGCGTATGTGGGATCGTTGTCGGTGACCACGCGGAATATGTACAGAAAGCATGTCAGCAGTTTGAAAAAGAGGTTGGCCAGTCGTATCCGCAGACCTGAAAGCAGAGCGAAATCAGAGTGGAGAGTGGTGGAGAAAGGCGAAAGCCGCGGCAAGCAACAGTCGACGCGATCGACAGATGAAAGGCGGCTGCGAGGTAAATTTGGCGCGTAAGGCTAATATCGACTCGGCAAACGTTTGCCGGGTTTGCGGTCGCGCTCCGGTAGAAGGCTGCGCTAGACAGAGGCGGGGCCGGCCGACGAAACAGAGGGACTGCCGCTGCTGCTGGCGTGCGCCGTGTCGGAGTTTCACTTTGTTCGCGCTGCTTCGGCCGCGGCCGGCGAGCGCCAAAGCAGCCCCGCGCAATGTCCGAGCCATTGGATCGGTGCAAGGGCCTGCGAGCCGTGTACATCGCCAGCCGCGACCATTCGTCTCGAGCGCCGTTGCGGACACGCTGGCGCGATCGCCTCCGTCTCGGGCTTGTACCGGCAGTGTACCGCCCGGCCGACTTGCCTAATTCTGATCGATCGACGGGTCTCACGACGGATAAGACGAATCTCGTGCGCGCGAGAACGACGCGAACGGCTTGCGTCGAGTGGCCGAGCCCAACGGATGCGAGAACAAGAGAAAGCAAGCGATGACCGGCGTCAGGCTGGCGCGTGCGCGTTGCGTCCGCGATGCTGTACTGTACGCTGCGTGCTCGACCACGTACGGCAGGGCCTCGGCTTAGGAAATCTTCGGGGGGCCATTTATCGGTAGGAGCCTTGTTTTATGAGCGAGATTACGCGCCACCGCCGTCGACTCGGCTCCGCTCGTATGTCGCTCCGCGGACGCACGATCCCAATACGTTCGGGTACACGCGCATAAAGCAGGAGTTGCGCGCGCGGAACGGCCTCGTTGCAGTTTAAGCTCGCGGCATTGCGGCCAGGCTAACGCTCGGTAGAGCGCCACTTTTTACGGCACATTGTACACGCCGCTCCAGAAAAATTATCTTCCCTTTGCAAACTGGTTAAACGCAACTTGTCGCCGTTCAAATGAGTTGGTGTTGCGACGCCTTTCCTTAGTAGCTCACGGAATTTGGCGCGCGCAAGCTCTTGCCTACGAAGCAGTCGAGTAGAAGCTGCGAAGCAAAGGGGGTGGGAGCCGACAGGCTGTGTGTGCGAGAGAGAGAGAGGGAAAGAGAGAGAGGGTGGGGTGGCGCTTGAAAGTAATTAACTTACTCGAGCGTTGGTTCTTGATGAAGTAGAGCTGAAGCCGTTCCTTGAATGTGTTCTCGTTCACATAGTACTCCACGCGAACTCTGTAACAGAAAGAACGAGGATCATCTTTCGATCGCGCGTCTTTCGTTAAAATCATACACTTGTTCGAGTTGTCATTGAATTGAAATGTTAAAATTATCCAAGTTTTGAAATATCAGAGCGTGGAGCAAGACAAATAGGATGGTTTGGCGCTGAACTGCTCGGAGAAGCTTTTAAGGGAGAGGCAGTTCCGCGTGTATGACTTTCTGGGGAATCCAAATGGCAAGGATTTACTTGGGTGCACATGGTAATATACAAAGCAACGGAAGCCCCGCGATAAGCTGCAAGGTAAAAAGGTATTGGTGGAAAAGGAAAAGGAATAGGTCCCCTTTTGATAACAGCATGGCAGCGCCAGCAGCAGCAGCAGCACCAACATGAAAAGCAAAGAAGAGAGCTGTGGTACAGGGCGCTGAGCTAACTTTGAATTGAAAATATTGGAATGGCCTGTGTTTACATCTCGAGCTTTCAAACAGCTCACGCGAATAAAAAAGATTTGGAAGTCAAAGCAGCAGACGCTCGCTTGAGTATAAGCAATCTGCGAGCTCGCGTTAGCGCTTCACTCTGGCCGAAATGCCCGAAAAACAGTGCAGCTAGACTCAAGACCTGTCCGCTCTGAGTATCCGCGGCAGCTCTCAAGATCGTTGATAATGAAAACACGGTGTCGACTTAATGTAGTGGCTCGCCGCCCGTCGGAAGTCGTGAAATTTGCACTTGTTAATTGGCAAACTGCTCCCGTGCGTGCTCAGAGAATAGCACATAAGGATCATGTAGGTCGCCGAACTAGCCAAACTAGTTTGCCGATGTCGAGTCTTACGGGTCCGTGACGTCATCGTGGGCTTTCCGACGACGACGACGACGACGACGACGATCGCTAAAAATAGACAGCTGACGCGCGGTCGTACTCGCGTGGCAAGGACGCCCGCACGGCACTGCACGAGTCAAGTTTGTTGCCAGTTCATATCGTGCACAACTATATTAGCGTACTGGCTGCTCGTGCACTCGCTTCTTTTTTGCGGTTAAAAACTCCTGCTGGCCGATATACCTCTGAGAAATTCGTCCCAATTGAACGTTCGTCAACGAATATTTTGCAGCCGAGTTGATCTGTCTTTTCGATCGGACAGTTGCCGGACTGTGTGCCGAGCTAGCACGAGCAGGAAGGTCAGTCGGGCGATAGCGTGATACCGCGTTCGTCGGAAGAGCGATAGGATCTCGATTTACGCAAGGATTAAGACGCGACTGCAACAGGTCACGCACCGAGTGGAAGAGGACTTTGAAGGCGTCCGACGAATGCCGACCGAATGCCCAGGAGCGTTTGTCTGGCTGTTTATCGATAGGTGGTCCTGGAGCGACGGGAGCGGGGCGAAATAATAATTGGGCCGAAATAATTAGGCAGCTCATTAGGAAGTTGGCGGTTTCGCAGGAGGCGGTTGGCGGGAGGAGCAAGGCGGTCGAGCTGCAAGAAGCGCTTCTCAGCCACGGACTGGCACTACAACGATTAATCTCTCGACGGGGCGGATCAATCGAGCGAAAGAAGCCTCGCCGGGAGATTAATCGATGCGTTTATCCGGAGAGACGCGGCCGCGCGAGCTACGCCGAGAGCAAGAACGGAGAACGGCGCTGCCAAATATACCCTCCGATCGAGACTCTCTATTCTGGCGTTTGCGGCTCGGCAGCGCGGCCGGCTTGCCAGGCGCGATGCGAAAGGGGCGCCGGCCGTCCCCGCGCGGACGTGAATTCGCCGAGACAGGAGACATCGACCGACGCCGACCGACGCGCAAACTCCAAACGATTGCCGACGCTGCCCGCCGGGCGCTCGCTCGCCAGTTATAATTCGTTAAGAACTTGGTGCTCCGCTGTCTGCTTCATTTTCAGCTTTGTTCGCATCGGCTCCCAGTTCGCGCTCCGATTCGACGCGTCAAATAACAGCCGGCTATTGCCGGTGCCGCAAGTTGCTTTATTTCCATCGAATATCGATCGTTCCAGTCGATAGCCACTCCGCGGCTGCCCGCGCGATTCGACAGTGAAATGATCGACCAACCGAACAGCTGAAACGTATTAATTAAAAACAAATATTCATCGTTGTTGAATGTCAGTGCTGGCAGCGGCCGATACCTGATATACCCGATCGATCGGGCCTGTGGCCTGATAAAACTTACGTTTTCAATGTTCCATCTGAATAATGATTTAGCATAGCGCTGTGCCCATTGATCAAAGCAATATCAGACTAATTTATCTGAACATTGTTCGGCGCGATTGGCGTATTTCCAACGCGGCGCATAAAAAATCCATATGCTTTACGAGTCGCTCGTAAAAGCACAGAGCTAAAGCGGAGATCCAGAACGGAGGGCAAAAAACGACGAACAAACAGGTATTGGCTTTATTACCCGATGGCGCTGAAAGCATAAATGCCGCCGACGTTGAAAAGGCCGATGCATGCATTTTTATTGTTTCGCAGCTGCAAAGCTGTTGCCCTCTCGTAAAATTCTTGTCAAAACAACTTGACAGCCATTCTCCGTACCGAATTGGCGGGGCCAACACGCGTCGAATGGTCTGCGGTGCATGCATCAAACCAGCTCATCTACAGGGCTGCGCCGACACAGACTTGACTCAAGTTCGCTTTGCCGACTAGAGTCGCCGAGTAGGTCCGTAGTTTTTCCGTGCCAGGTCAACTTGCACCACCGACTAGTCCTAGTCCAATCGGATTCTGTTATCGTTCTATTAGGATGTTATCAAGTGCTTTGAGAGAAAACTCGGATAATAGCAGTCTCGTGTGAATCTCAGCCTGCATCGTCCAAGTTAAATTTGCCAAGTTGAGCGTACAATTTTTCCTCGCTCAGAGTTTTATACGATTTCCAAGTTGCAAATATTCAAGAATCCCAAACAAGTTTTCTCTTGTTGCGCTCGACGCGCCTGCTCTCGTTGTACTCGTCAGACGCGTCATTTCTCCTGATTTCTGGAGCGCTTTTCCAGAGCTCGCAGAGGGAGTACAAGAGGACCGTTCACGAAGATCAATTTCGGGCCTTCTGGCCCGCAGCCGATAAACTCGTCGACCAGAGACCGATAAACAGAGGCAATATGTCAGCCGAATCTAGCGCAGTGGAATGGAGTGGAGTCGCGCGACGCCCGACACAAGCAAACACGCGCGAACGAAGAGCCGACTGCCACTGACGGACGACGAGCGAAGACGGAGCTGCTCTCCTGTCTACTTTGGTCCGATTTGGTCCCGGCCCCGGCCCCGGCCCTGCTGTCCGCCGCTCCGCGCACTCCGTCGTCCATTTCACTTGGTATCGACGCACGCGTCACGTGCCACTCGGCTGGCTCGTCCGCCATCAAACTTGCCACTCGGCAATTATACAAAGTTCCTCTGTTTCAAGTTGTACGAGCGTCCTAATGAGATTGTCGTGGCCCTCGAGATCGATCGCGATCCGTAATGGGCCAGCGCCGACCACCTTGGAGCTCGCTCTGCAAATTCGTTACGTTGTACCGCTCGTTCGCAGCTGACTCGGGCGCCTGGCCAATTCGCACGCGAGCAAATATTTACGCAGACGCTGCGTACATTTGGTTAGCAGTCGTAAGAGCTACGGCGTAATCAGCGATAGCTGCCAAATGAGTAATAGCAAAAGAACGAAAGCTCTCGAGGCTCGAGTCGTTTGGCAGCAGTTGATCAAACGCTTAATAAATCAATCTGTCTCCGGGTCTGCAAATCCTATAAACGCCTTGTCCCTCGGGCACAGCCTAGCGACGGAATCGTTCTCTCTCGCTCGGACTGCTTGCAAACACAGACAGAGAGAGAGACGAAGCTACCTCGGCGTCAAGCTATGAATTATGCAGCTAGCTGCTTTTCCTCTCTGGCGCATAGAGCACGGCGGCGACCCCTCGCGCCCCTTGCCCCTTGCCCGCTCCGTGCTGTCCTGCTCTTGGCCCTTGTTTGACTCGTCAGTCGGCTGTCGGGCCGCAGTCAACGTCCCCGAACGACGGGCAGATATTGCTCCGTGATCGGGTCGAGCCGATGCTTCGACTTTCGCCTTCGGATCCCTTTCACCATTGGCACTTCCTCCCGCGAAATTGCCAAGCGCCAAGCCGTCCAACTTGATGTTCACTGGAGATCAACGGCAGACGGCAGGCACGCATCGACAACACGACGCTTAAAGCCTCGATCAATCGTGTACTCTCCTAGGCGCACCTCTGCGTTGGCTGGCGTCGCTTCCATCATCACCGTCGTCATTGATGCGCTGGGATTTCGTCGGACCGCTCACTGTCGAAGATTGCGGAGGAGGAAGATGCACAAGTGCCAGGCTCTGAATGCGGCCAATGAATTGGACAGCGCTCGAAGTAACTGGGCTCGTCCGAGAGAAAGAAAATGAAAATCCAAGCCAAGTTGAGCACGTCGAGCAGCGTGGAGAGGAGGCGAGGAGGCGAGGAGGCCAGGAGGCTAGCGACGAGTACCGCCGCGTGTCGGAGCAAGCGCGGCCGAGGCGTGCACAGAGCGGAGCGCAATAGAGCGTGATATTCGGCGACGGGCGCGGAAGCCCGGCTGTGCGCGAGCTTTCGCTGCACACGGCTGTACTCGAATTACACTCGATGAAAAGTGCCAAATAAAGCGCACAGGCCGGCGGCGACGAGAGGCTGCGCTTAATTTGCAAATTGAATTTTCCGCGACAATGATTTTTATCGGCTCCAACCAAATCATCCGGCGCTCTCATTGGCTGCAGCCCAAGACTCATAAGCCAGCCATTTCGTTTGTTAGCCGTTCAACTCTGTCAGTGCACTGCACTGGCTTTCGTTGATACCCGCCTCGCTTGCGCGTGCGCGTGCGCTTCGTTCGGCTTTACGCTCGACCGACAGCAAAGCTCCTCTCGTCGAGGCTCCACGCTGCTCGAACCTTTCAAACCTTTCGAACGTTCCATCGCCGATCGACAAGTTTCTCTCGTCGCAATTGGTTCGCCAATGGAATCAGCGCGTCGCTTGCTCTGTCTACACAACCACGCGAGGATTTATTTCG